TGAGTTGCTTTGCTTTGCATATTGTATTTATTCACACTTCCGTTAGCCTTTGAAATTGCACAGTGTTGCTGGACACATGTTGCTCTAGCGATATCGATAACGCGTGGCGTTTGCTGTCTCGCTCTCTCTTTCTTCCCTTTAGCTTGCCTTTGCTTCTGGCACTCAGCTTGTTGCGGGTTTATCTTGTTGTTATTTGATCGCCTTTTTGATTTTTCAAGTTTGAGCTGGTTTTTTTTTTATTTATTTGGTTGTTTTGAGTGTGTATTTTTTCTTCTTGTGCTGTGAAAGTACATAAAAGGCATGTTCGCCTTTTTTTTTTAGAAAGGCAATTGGCGACATTTTCGCAACGTCAACATGTTGCTGTTGCCAGGCTGCCATTTTGTATCTGTGCCAGTTTTTATTTAGGCTCGTTTTGTTTTTGGGTTTTAGCACTAACAGTTCTGCTCGCTGAGCGTCAGTCATTGGATATTTGTATTATGTAAAGTTAACAGTGTTTTAAATAAGCTGTAAATTCGCCCGCAACATACGCCCAAGCAACATGTCGCCTGCAGCGAAACTTTCTCCATGGTTCTGACATGTTCTGGCAACAAAAGTGCAATTAGGCAGCAACATTGTTGCTGTCGTTGCTGTTGTTGACATTTTGAAATGCCTATGCGTACATTGCTCTCATTTTGAGCAACAAATATTTGCACAGCTCCTGCTGCTCGTCATCCGTCACCCGTTTCCCGTTGCCCGTTGCCCGTTACCCACTGCCCGCAACATTTGCCTTGTCAACATGTTTATTGTTTCGCTTCCCCTTAATCTGCGCTTTTCGCCGTCAACATTTTCATGGCACATAACCTGTTGCTTCTGGAAATTATGATTATTTTATTTAATTTGTATTTCTTGTATTATTTTCCCTTCTTTACGTATTCGTGTCTTTCATTTCCAGTGTTTCTTATCTTTCCGCTTCCGTTTTGAGGTTTTAAAATATTTTTGTTGCTCTTTAAAGCTTTTATCGCCGCTGTTTTTTTAAGGCAACTCTTTTGTTGTCGGCACCCTCGACTTCCGCTGTCTGCGTCGCGTTTTCACCAATTGCAACATGCAACATGAAGTCCAATTTACATTCGCATTCACGAAAGTTGTGCTGCCCCAACTTTCACCCTCGGCTCCGCCTAAGAGATTCTGTTTAGCTTGAGTTGTTGCAGTTGTTTACTTAGAATTAAACTAAGAGTTGATTTTGCGTCAATCTCTGACTGCAATTATTAGTTTACAGCGTCTGCACGTGCAGCTGTCGTAATACACATATGCACACTTATACATACACACTCATACACCCTGATGAATATGGTCTTAATAGGTCTTATCTTTTGGATTGCAATTGCAATAATTATGACAGCTCTTATTTATTTTACTGACCCAGTCCAGAGGAGGAACAACAACAATATAACCCCCCGCCGATAACCGATAACAGATAATGAGCGAGGGCAAATGATAACTGGAGCTAGGCAGTGCTTGGCTCTGCTTCAAGTCAAGTCGGGAATTTACTGGAATGCCAATATTCCAATGCTGATAAATAGCTCAAATCTGTTGTATGAATTTCCCATATATGAAATTCGCCTTGTCTATATTGGATACTCCATCTTGGAGCGCTCATCTTTGCCTTAAATTTGCTCTTAAAGCATAGTAAATGCAGGGGGTTTATGTAGGGAAGTAATATGCTGACTTTCGTATACTTTGTACTAAACGCTTCCATAAATTCCCATCAAATTTCAATTACGCGCAAACACCTCACATATAACGAGGCCATCCCTCATGCCCCACTCTTCCCCCAGCTTCATTAGTTATCAAAAGTTTCCTTGCGTAAGAAAGGGGAGAAAAGGGAGCGAGGCTGCCGGCTTCAGCTTTTGTTCTCTGCAGCAGCTACCGTTACGTTCAACACCCGCATAACACGCCCCCTCCTTCGCCTTCGTCTTCGCCCATTTTACACTCTGTTGAGTCGCGATTTATGCAACAAGCTGCGGCTAAGGCAAACGGCAAAAGGCAAGCAAAAGCAAAAGCAAGACGAACAGCAACGACAGCGACAACGACAACGACAACCGTTACGTTTCGTTTTTGTTTGCCAAAACTGCGTCACGTTGCAAGTGGTGGGGGCGGTGGCTGCGACGCCCGCTGCAGCAGCAACTGCGGCAGAGATTTGCGTAAGCGAATTCGATTTATTGTGCAACTCAACAATAAATATGCAAATAGATGTCGAACCGCTAGTCGAGTGGGGGCGGAGGCGAGTTGCAGAGGAGATGCCGATACGTAACTTGTTGCAGCGGGTGGCTTGTGGCATGCAGCATGCAGCATGCGACATGAGGCAGCGCCACGTGAGCCAAAGATGCAAAGATTTCGTTATACAAATCCTCGGCAAGTCCTTGGCCACTGGCGTTCGCCTTGGCTGCCTGCAGCCTTCAGTCAGTGGGGACGGCGGGGCGGGCAGGCGATTAGGTGGTTCGGTGGTGGGGCGCTTGCTTGACTCAATTTGTGCGATTGTCCGACATTTGACCTTGGGTGCAGATACTGTTGCTGTTTGCATACGCCTTACGCTTCACAGTTGTGTCAGAGGAGAGACAGTGGTACAAAGCTATATTTATCGCATCAGCAGCAGCAGAAGATGAATCGATGTCGACAGCGATATCGATAGTCAAGCGTTCTCAGTGGTAACTATAGCTTATGGGAAGTTTCTAAGAAGACTCCACAACATCTCAGACAAACTGCACTATCTTTTGTTGTTGCTCTTCTCCTAGATCGACGATCAGTTAGCTCTCGATAAATATCGATTTTTCTTTAGCTTTAGTTGCTATAGCAACTACTACAGGGTATTTACTAGTCGAATTAGAATAGAATTTATCCATTTATAGTTTACCTTTCGATTTTAATTTGGCTTTTCGAATTGTGAGCTATTCCTCATCGGGCTTTGCATAATTTATTGCATTTAGTTTTCAGTCGCTGCGCCATAAATTTTCAGTCACATTCAAATGCTCTGCGTCCCCCATTCCGCTGTCAACTGCCACGCCCCCTGCTCGTATAGGACATTGGCATCGCGTGTGTCCTTAAATTTCGTTTTGATTACAACTCGCAGTCACATTTTGTGTCCGGCTGAGGGCAGAAGCCGCAGGCCAAGTCACCCCCCGCCGTGGCTGCCCTTTGACCCCCAGCTCCGAGCCCCCATCCCTCAGCTCCTTTGAACGACCTTCAGCCGGCTGCCATATAATTTCCCAGGCTTTTCCGCGCGTGGGCTCGCTTCGCCTCGCCTCGCCTCGCTTTGTCTCTCTCGTGTTATAAAAAATTCTTTTTATTTTCCGTGTTCTCTCGCTGTCCTCCTGTGCGCTATTTTTATGTCTTTTTTTCTCTCGCATTTCTATTGAATGTCCTCTGACGCAAATTAATTAAATTATGTAATAAGCAGGAACTGGCGGGAGCAGAGAGCAGGAGCAGGAGAAGGGGCATGATCCTACTTAACCAGTTCTAAATTTAGCTGCAACAAAGCAAGAGTCGACGATGTCTAATATGAGGTAATTAGTGATGAGAGGTTCTTATGGAGGTTGGGGCCAGGTGTAAGAAGAAGAAGAAGACGGTGGCATGATATATTGAGTTATGAATGAAGAAATTAGCAGAAGTTAGCTTTGACCTACGCACGCTAATCAGAAATGCAGCTGTTGCGCACTGGGCGAACTTCCAATTGGAACTTTCGCTAATTGGATTGCTAGAAATGGTAAACAAATCAATAAACAGAATGACACTATGTAATGTATATGAATATATATAGATTTCTATTTAAACTATTGTAACAATCGAACTGATATAGTATATAGTTTTCAATTCAATGTAGGAGCCACGTTTATTCATGGACGTACAACGATATATAAGTACATATAGATAGAAGTACATAGGTATATGTTTTGGGAATCGTTATACAATATGATATTTTACTGTCTCTTATACTGGTTTAGGAAGTTGAAAACAAAAACTAATAAAAATCGATATTTTAAGAACTTGAATCATCAAAATTCGATTGCTGACTTGCTGGCAAGTTCCCTCTTTAAATTGAGCGAAAGTCATTTAACTCTTGAGAGTTAAAGCTGAGTATACTCTATATCATATATATGTATAGGTGCATCACAGATTTAATTTCGGCTGGTGCTGCAGTTAAAACACTGCTGTGATTAATGTGACAATGAGTTGGCGCAGAAGTAAGAATACACTCATGGAGCACTCAAGATTTGATACGCTCGATAGAGCCTACTCTGCCCAGGTAATTGTGCCTAAGCGGTAGAAATTAGATGTTGCCTGCAATGAAACCCAGTTGGCGGTTCCAGTTTTATCAAGTATCTATATTTATATACAAACATACATGTATGTATATATGTGTGTATGTGTGTGTATCTGCACATATACATAAGTATGTATATACATACCTGTTTCAAGACATGATGACTCTCGGATACCTGCAACAATGGCCCACGATCTGCCTGGGTAAATATACCATATATATACATCGGCTTCCTTATGGCACATCTATATATAAATAGATTGATAGATATACACATATATCGTGCTATCGTTATATACGTCTTTATTCAGGTAGAATACGCTTTATTTCCATTGCAATTATTGCGACTTGTCAGCCACATTTGCGACTGTTTCAATTGGCCAAAATGCGCGTTTGCGATTCGCGTCGTTTTCTTTGTCAGCTCTGTCTGACTGAGAGATACACTCATGCATATATAGAGGCGTATATATATACAGTCTGTATCGGTGCATGGTCTGCCGTGAGCTGCTCGGCGTTCGGTGCTCGCATTTTACAATTGCCTGAGCTGTGGCACAGTTAGCGCAGCTCGAGGAGAATTTCAAAGAGATTTATAAGAATGCTATCCTCTGTTATTAGGCTCTTGCGAAGGCGAGGTTGTTACGACAGCAGAGATGCCCTGCCAATATGGTTCACATAACTAATATCTCCTCTCTTTTCATTTCAGATTGCGATTGCGGCTGCGTGGACTCGTACAACAGCAGCAGCGTTGAGTTGCGGCACGGCCAGGCGCAGGCAGCGGCAGTAGCGGCAGCAGCAGCAGCGGCAGCGGCAGCAACAGCAGCAGCAGCAGCGGCTCACAACGTTGTGAGCCACAACAGCAGCAGCAGCAGCAGCGGCGGCAGCGGCGGCGGTGTCAACGGTAACGGCAACGGCAACAGCGGTGGCAGCAGCAGCCTCAAGACGGCGCACGCAAAGGTTGCCACATCGGGGGGGCATGCCAACACGCAGCCCCCCAGCAAGCGCTCCAGCAGCGGCGCCGATGGCGACTATCAACTGGTGCAGCACGAGGTGCTCTACTCGCTGTCAGCGGAGTATGAGGTGCGTATAGGCATTTATAGTAGGGTTAGAGTTCAAATGAGCTGCTGAACTAGTTCATTGAGCAATTGAGCTCAAGCGGTCAGCTTGTCTGGGTATACTGAATGGAAGAGGTGTTCCATTCAATAGACGCCAATGATGAACTAATGAACTAGTGAACTTGTTCAGTGATCAGTCAGCTGAACTGAATTGCAAAAAATACAACTGCTCAACTAAATGAACTAGTGAATAAGACGATATATTTAATGTTATATATGAGTGTAATTCACGTTTCTCCTCTCTTCGATTTAGGTCCTGGAGTTTCTGGGCCGCGGCACCTTTGGCCAGGTGGTCAAGTGCTGGAAGCGCGGCACTTCCGAAATCGTTGCTATCAAAATCTTAAAGAATCATCCGTCGTACGCGCGTCAGGGCCAGATCGAGGTCTCGATACTGTCGCGCCTCAGCCAGGAGAACGCGGATGAGTTCAACTTTGTGCGCGCCTTCGAGTGCTTTCAGCATAAGAACCACACCTGCCTGGTCTTCGAGATGCTCGAGCAGAATCTCTACGATTTTCTCAAGCAGAACAAGTTCTCTCCGCTGCCGTTGAAGTACATACGACCCATACTGGAGCAGGTGAGACAAGCGCAGCTGATGGAAATGCCTTTAGTCATATTCTCTCTCTCTCTCTCTCTCTCTATCTCGATCTTCCTCCCTCTTAGGTGTTGACTGCCCTGTTGAAGCTGAAGCAATTGGGCCTGATTCACGCCGATTTGAAGCCGGAGAACATAATGCTTGTGGATCCAGTGCGTCAGCCGTATCGCGTAAAGGTCATTGACTTTGGGAGCGCCTCGCATGTGAGCAAGACCGTCTGCAACACGTATTTGCAGTCGCGCTATTATCGGGCGCCAGAGATTATCTTGGGCCTGCCGTTCTGCGAGGCCATCGATATGTGGTCGCTGGGCTGCGTGGTGGCCGAGCTCTTCCTGGGCTGGCCTCTGTATCCGGGCAGCTCTGAGTTTGACCAGATCCGCTATATATCGCAAACACAGGGCCTGCCCACGGAGCACATGCTGAACAGCGCCTCGAAGACATCGAAGTTCTTCTATCGGGACGTCGACTCCACGTATCCGTTCTGGCGCTTGAAGACCACCGAGGAGCACGAGGCGGAGACGAACACGAAGAGCAAGGAGGCGCGCAAATACATTTTCAACTGCCTGGACGACATCGGGCAGGTGAACGTGCCCACGGACCTGGAGGGCGGCCAGCTGCTGGCCGAGAAGACGGACCGGCGTGAGTTCATAGATCTGCTGAAGCGCATGCTCACCATTGACCAGGAGCGACGCCTCACACCGGCGGAGGCGCTGAACCACAGCTTCACGCGGCTCACCCACCTGGTCGACTACGTCTACTGCAACAATGTGAAGGCCTCGGTGCAAATGATGGAGGTGTGCCGGCGAGGCGATTTCCATACGTGAGTGGACAGCGCGACTTCCCCCACATATGTGTATTCACCAATGCTTTCTCTGTTTCTTTGCTCAGCGTACAACCTGCGCCCACGCTGGTGACCAACTTTGTGCCCAGCAGCACGGAGAACATGACCTTCACGATCAACAACCAGCTGACGAGCCAGGTGCAGCGCCTTGTGCGCGATGGCCGCCCGCTGGCCTACGAGGGCCTCTACCAGATCTATGGCGGCCGCAACGTGGCCCGGCAGTACCCGCAGGCGCGCACCGATACGTTCCAGCATCAGCTGGTGTCGAACATACTCTGTCCGCCCTCGTACCAGGCCATGCCCAGTCCCACCAAGCACGTCGTTGTGGGCAGCGCCACGATGCAGCCGCCGCTGCAGGTGCCGCCGCAGCAGTATGTGAACGTGCCCGTGCCCGTGTCGATGGTGGAGCCCAGCTCTGGGCAGCGCATGCTGCTCACCAACCGGGTGCAGGCCAGTGGCGTTGCCTGGCCGCAAACCGGGCGCCAGATGGCGCTGGTGCCCTCCTGGCCGCAGCAGGCGCCGGCGCATTCGCTGATCGTCGACTCGACGTCGCTCTTCAATGTGGAGGAGATCTATCCCAAGCACCATCTCAACTTGCCGCGCAACGATCTCAAGAAGGAGTCGCCGGCTCATCATCTAGCGTGCGTATCCAGTTGGATTCAGCTTCAACTCAAACTAATCTAATTCTAATTCCATGTCAATCCTGCAGCAAGGGCAGCTCGTATCGTGTGCCGCGTCACGAGAAGAAGGAGCATCAGCAGCTGTCGCCAGTGAAGAAGCGCGTCAAGGAGAGCTCGCCGCCGCATCAGCAGCGCTACCAGCGCGCCGCCCACGTTTCGCCGCAGTACCACGCCCACCACAACTGCAACTATGGCGGCGGGGGAGGAGGCTATGGCGCAGGCGCCGCTGGCACCGTCGCCGCCAGCTCCGCCTCATCAGCGAGCAGTGAGTGTCGGCTAATCCATTGGTTACGCCGCGTTATAGCCTTTTAGCTGATATCATAGCTGTATCCCAGATCGGTCTGACACGCGTTTATATAGTTAACTCTTTGTCTGTTTCTTTAACCTTAACTTGTCGCCCCGTTGCGCAGTTTTTCCCGTTGAAATTTTCCACTTTGTGTTATGTATATGAAATCATTATTATTTATTGAAATTAATATGTATTAAATCAGCTGACGTTGCATCTAATTGTATTTAAGTTGTATTATGTAAGTAAGCAGTGCCTGTTCCATGTGCTAATCTCCTGTTTGCCTTTCAGATATCATCAATGCCAGTGGCAGCAGCTCGTCGAGCTCGCATCACCACGCGCCGGCGGCCCACGCCCCGCACGGCAGCAGCAGCAGCAGCAGCGCCTACAACAGCGCCGGCCACCACATTGTGGTGAGCAATTGCAGTGGCAATGGCGGTGGCTCGGCTGCCAGCTACCACGGCAGCAGCCAGCCGCCGCTGCACGCGCACCAGCAGCCGCACGTGAAGCAGCCCACCATCACCATCCACGACACGCCCTCGCCGACAGCCGTCGTGGGCGACGTGATCACCATATCTGACAGCGAGGACGAGGGCGCCGATGCAGCTGTGCAGCCCGTCAAGCAGCGCGCGCATGCGCAGTCGCAGACGAGCAGCAGCCTGATGCAGCAGCAGCAGCAGCAGCAGCAACATCCGCATCAGCATCAGCAGCAGCAGCATCAACAGCTGCAGCACTCGACGAGCAATTCGCATTGTCGCAGCAGTGGCGGACAGCCGTTGCACGTGCCACACCAGCCCGTTAATTATGGTAATGCTCAACACAGTTCCATGTCCAACCCGAACAGCTCCGCGAATGCCAATGCCAATGCCAATGCCAGCAGCAGCAGCAGTCAGCGTTTGGCCAGCAAATGTGGCGGCCAGCTGGGCGGCAGTAGCGGAGCTAATCATCATAGCCATCATAGCCATCACAGTAGTCACCACAACAGCAACAGCCAGCAGCAGCAGCAGCAGCAGCAGCTACAGCAGCAGCATCACAGCAGCAACAGTAGCATTAACATTAACAATAACAGTAGCAGTCAGCAGCAACAGCAACAGCAGTTGCCGCCGCCTCCTCCTCATCACAGTAGCAGTAGCAGTAGCAGTAACAGTAGCAATAATCATCATCATCATCATCATGCAGGCTCGCTGGGCGGAAGCGGAAGTGGAAATGGAAATGGCAATGGATATGCTGCTGCTGTCCTAGACAACTGCGCGCAGCAGCAACAGCAACAGCAACAGCAGCAACAACAACAATTGCATCAGCAACAGCAGCAACAGGCTTGCTATCAGTCAAGCTCCCACAGTAATGGCAACGGCAACAACAGCAACAACAACAATAGCAACAACAACAGTCATCACACCACTTCCAATTCTGCTTCCACTTCCAACCAACAACAACCTCAACCACCTCAACCACTACACCACCATAACCATCATGGTCTACAGCTCCCCCCCGCACCCATTTCCATGAATAGCACCACAATACACAATTCCTCCTCCTCCTCTTCTGGTAACCTCTGTCCAAATCCTGTAGCTGCTGTCCCTGACATTCCCTCGTCCTCCTCGACCTCCTCCTCTGGCCCTGCCACGTCTCAGTCGCATCTCAGTCGTCATAAGCCAACGCAACAACAGCACGTCCATCTAGTAATTCCATGCGTTACCGTAGGTGATCACGATCCGGAGGATGCGCGTCGACGTCACCACGCGGCAGCCGCCGCCGCTCTCTCCGTGCCCACTGGCAGCAGTCCCAAGCATCATCATCAGCAGCAGCAGCAGCCACAGCAGCAACAACAGCAGCAGCAGCAGCAACATCACCATCACCACCAACAACAGCAGCAGCAGCAGCAGCCGCCACCGCCACCGCAGCAGCAGCAGCAGGTGCAGGTGCAGTCGTCTCAGCAGACGCCACACTATCAGCCACCGCCGCCTCAAGCCCAGCCACAGCTACAGTCGCAGCCCAGCATCAAGTACGAGCCGGGACAGTCGCAAAAGAAGCGCATTCTGGCCATGGCTCAGAGCGAGTGCAACTATCAGCCGCAGCCGCCGCCGCAGGTGCAGATACAAGTGCAACAGCAACAGCAGCAGCAGCAGCAGCAACAACAGCAGCAGCAGCAGCCGCCGCCTGTGGCCAGCCTGCCGCATATTCCAACCAAGCAGGAGCCAGCCGAGTTCTATCCGGACTACCCGCCGCAGCAACCGCAGCAGCTGCAGCTGGAGACGAAGCGCAGCTCTTGGGCAGCTGGCTCGAGTACGGCAGCCATGCCCCTGGCACATCCGAAGCGCGAGGCACCGTCTGTGGCGCCCGTCAGCTATGCGGCGCCCACTGTCGCCCCACCGCTGGCCCACTCGAAGAGCAGCTCGAGCAGCTCCTCGTCGATCAGCGCTGCGGCTGCTGCAGCTGCGGCAGCCGCTGCCGCCGCGGCCAGTGTGGGTCCGCCGTCGTGGGGCCCGCCCCAAGTCTACCGGCAGCCATCACAGCCACCGCCATCATCGGCCTCGGCGGGTGGTAGTGGTGGCGGTGGTGGCAGTGGCAGTGCAGGTGGTGTCGCCACCCAGCCGCCCGCTGGGCCGCCGCATCATCATCACAGCAGCCACAGTCATCATCATCACCATCAGGCGGGCACGCCGCTGGGCGGCTCACCGTCGTCGACAGCCGCCGCGGCCATGTTGCAGACGGACATTTACGCGCAGGGCGATATATACCGCAGGCCCACCGTCTATGTGTCCCAGGCAGCGCCCACTTACGCGTACTCGAATCGAGCGGTGGTCGCCCCACCACCGGCCCACAACAGCTCCAGTCGACAGGTGGGTGTACTTAAGCTACAAATGGCATTTCAAGTAGTATTCCTCCATATTTATACATGTGATTACCTCTGACTATCCAAATCATTTAATTGTAAATACAAAAGTAATTGAAGTGTGATTATAAAGGGTATTTTGATCTCAATTATGGGATATTGTGTTTACATTAATTACCTGCAATTACATTTGCAATAACTCTTTAAATACTAGAGTAGTTGAAAGTAATTAAAATGTATTTATTCAGTTTTACTCAGGTCTATTGCAGTTTTGCTTTACATTAACATTTACTCTCGCCTTTCACAGGTCATACCATCCCATCCATTGCCGGCTCACATTCAAATCCCGTCGCAGTATAGCCAATTCGGACCATTGAGTCCTGCCCAGGTAGCCGCCAGCAAGCATGCGGCGCACTTTGCGCCCACCAACATATGGTATGGTGCTGAGTAGCTTCCTGATGTAGGGTGCACGAGGGTTGACGCGAGGATGCCAGAGGCCACCACTGACAACAACAAGAACTACAACAACTAGAACTACAACTACAACAAGCACACAGCTTCCTTTCCTAACTAATCACACACAGAGCGTAGAACTTGTTTCTTGATTGATTGATTGATTGATTGATGCTCGAGTGAGTCGATAATGCCAGCTAGACATCAATTTAAACTGGTTTTCTATTTCAGTGACTGTAGATCAAAGATTATACTAATCAAATGCTCTTGTACTTGCGCTCGTTTAGATCTTTTATGGCCTCGGCAGACGGCGACGACAACAACGATAGCGACTACAACAACAACAGCAGTAACAACAACAACTTTGATGAGCTGCAGGAATTGCAGAAGCTGCAGCTGACGCAATGCTGGTGGTTTATGATGCTCATGCAACAGAGCATCATACAGTACAACAGCAGCATGTTGCAAGAGACTGTGGAAATTGCGGAAACAGCAGCAACAACAACAACAACATCAACAACAACAGCTACAAGTGTTGCCCGCAGCAAAAGTCGCCGTAAACACTGAAACCATTTTAGATGTTTATTTTGTGTTTTCTTTTCTTTATTTTTCTTTCTTTTTTTTTTATATTCGCCAATATTTAAAGATTGTCGATTGTTCAATTATTCAAGTGCGAATTACGATTTATTAATTTACATTAAGATTTCAATTTTTTTTTTTCAATTTTTAAAAACAAAATGTTAGGCATTTTCTACACGCAGTTTGGCGTGTAAAGTGCAACAACTTACATACACATATGTAATTAATACACACACACACATATATATATATATATATATATATATATATATATATATATATATACGCACACACGCAACATATTCGAACGAAAGTTGATTCAAGATTTTCTCAAAGCAAAACAAAAACTAAAGCGTTTCACTATGTGTGTTGTATATTTTTTATTAGAGCTACTAAGTGCATACTATATACTATATACACCTATATAAACGTACATATATAAAACAAGAAAGTAAAGTACATAAACTAAACTAAATGCTAAAATATGTATTCGATAAAAACGTACGATACTAAGAGCTACATGCTAAACACATACATATATGTAAAACTACAACTAAAACTAATTCTTAATACATACATATATACATATATATGTATATATAATATTATATCTATACTACACATACACATGCAAATTATTGCAAATATTCAAAAACAACATTTTAAGATAAACAAAATTCGTGTTTGTGAAACAACAACAAATTACTTAGTGCTAAACGCATAGTAACATTTTTAGACTCTTTTTTAGCAAGTACCTCAAGAATTACAATTAAATATGCAACAAAAACAACAACAACAAGCAACAACAAAACAAAACAAATAATGTTATGCAAAAAATTGCCTTTTTACAACAAATAACAAACAACAACAAAAAGCGATATAAATTATTGTAAACAAAAACAAAAACGTGAAAAGAATATATAACTTTAGTGAGATAATCATAAACAGCAAAAACAAAACAAAAAACAAAAATATGATACCGCAAAAACCTTACTAGCAATCAAAGCATACATGAATATATATATACTTATATATATATATACATATATATATTTATACATAAACAATATATAGTAGTTAAACCTAGCGATATCTAAAAATAACTGATAACTGAACATGCGATATATGATAGCTAATAAACATAGACATAGACAGACCTTTTTTTTTGATTTGTTACGTTAACCAACACTCACACACACACTCTCATAGGACTTACAATCTAAGAAGCTAAACCTACAAAATAGGCGTATATATAGGTATATGTGGGGCTTTGTACAAACGAATAACAAATTAGATGCATTGTATTTAGCAATAACTTTACATACATATATATAACGGATTTTAAAATCAGATCAGGTACCAGGTCAGTGTTGTAAAACACCCAAGCGTCATTTACTTATAAAAGAGGAGAAGCGAAAGGAGCAGAAATTAATTGTATTTTATTTTGTCTAGCCCTACAAGTTGGGCTTCTATTTTACTTTGTTTCTCTGCGTTTAAGTTTTAACTGTTTTCTTGTATGAATTTTGAAACAACAGCAAAAAGTACAAAAAGGCAAAGCAATGTAGCTATAATCGAACAGTTTGTATAGAATTTTTTGGGACGCGTTTCTAATTTAGTTTTTGTATTTCGTGTTTTGTGTCTTTCAACTTAACTCTGTAACTCTTAAAATGTTCAAAACCAAACGCAGAGATTAGATTACTTTTTTATTTGTGTGACAACATTAATATATGCTAACAATACATGATACTAAATACTATCAACTATCTATATATATATATACATATATCAATTTAATGTTTCTTGTTAATTAGGTTTCTTAAAGAGTATTTTGTAGTTAGTCGTAGAACTTTTTTGTCAAATCCTTTTATATGTGTTTTTTGTTTGAATTGAATTAGAACTGTGGGCACTTCCTATTATGATACTACAAATATATATATACAAATTGTGTAAATCCAAGTAAATTGTAATTGAAATCAATAATTATTAATGCATGCATATATTGTAATCCAGCTGTGCACTAATTAATTGTAAAATTGAAATCTAAATATATATATATGATTATATATATCCATAGAGAATTCAAGCAGATCTATTTGGTAACGAAAGTCTAGCATATAATTATTGTGATGTAGTTTTTAAAAAATCGATGCAAAATACAAATTGATGTCGAAATTTTTGTCCTTGTCGTAATTAGCCAGTAAAAAGCAGAAATAAACAAAACAAATTACGAATTACGAATACAAATTACAAATTACTAATTAATTGTAAAGCATATATACGTCATATGCATATATAATAATATTAATAACCTATGTTAACTATTTAGTACACAAACGAAAAAAAAAAAAAAAAAAAAAAACAAAAAACAATGACTAAGCAAAAAGGCAAACAAAACAATTCTTTTAATTTTCAAGCAAGTTTATGTTTAATTAGCAGCTGTTAGACGTTTAGTGTTGTGACTTTAAATGATAACTCGTATCAGATATAGTAATACACCTATAAATCTAGATCTAGATCTGGACCTAGATCTAGATCCAGCTTTTGATTTGTCTTTCTTGGATGTCATCTTGAATGGCTTTTGTTAAAGCTTTTTTATAGATATTTTGTGGACCACGAAGAGAATATATATCAAAGAATATATATTTAACAAAAGTCTTTAAAGCAAATTAAAGCGACTCAAGCTTGTCAAGGTTTACTTCCTTTTTTGTCTAACTAATATATATGCATAAAGTACATAAACTATAATTAGTAACTTTAAACAAGAAAACTTTTCAATTTCTACTCAATGTGTTTTTTATTATATATAGAGAAGCAAAACAGAAAGAAACGCTTTAAATGTAACAAAAACGAAACGTTAATAGACTTAAAAAGAAGAAAATTTAAATATATACATATAAATAACACTCACTAAACAAATTAAAAACAGACATAGACACATAAATATATATATAAATATCGAACTAAATTTGGCAATTAAGTAAAAGTTTTAAATTTAAAGAGAAATTAAACAAATGTTTTAACTGTGTAGCCTTAAAAGAAAATCAATTTACAAATGAACATTAAATATTATATGTGTAGCACACACATGTATATATATACTTGAGATATCATATGATTGAACATACATATTTCTAAATGTACTAAAGGTTTATTTGCCTATTTTTTACACATATAAAAATATATACATTTTTTTTCAATTTGTTTAAAATATTTTACTTTTGTATTTCACAAAAATGCATACATTTTTAAATTGTAAATCCCACACTCACACACACAACATACATTTACTATTAATATAAATGTTTAAAATGATGTCCTAAAATACAAAAACCCACAACAACAAACATAAATATATATATACGATTAACGAAAGCATATTTTTTATTATTTTCTTTTCAATGTTTCTTTATTTTTCCATTTTTCCATTTTAGTTTTATCAATGAAAATCAAGAAGCTAATCAAAAGTTTGAACAAAAAGCAAATCAAGATGAACAACAAATACAAAATATATATCCCACCAACAAAATTAATTTTAAATATGCATAAGAAGAAAAGGGACATTTTATAACTTAACTGATATATCGAGCGAGATATATAGCTATATCTATATATATGTATATTTAGTTTGTCTTAAAGCTCATCATGGATTGCTTAGGCTTTGGCTACAGCAGTATCTATCTCTCTATTCATATATATATATATATATATATATATGGATGCTTATCTATATATATGTACTTACCTAATTTTAGTTTATTCTGAATCAGGTTTCTATAGTTGCCAATAGATTGTTAATTCTTTTCCAATACACACACACACACATGTTGTTTGACCAATTCAAATACGAAAACGAACAATTTGATGAGCTTTTCGAAATAATTTGTCGCTTTGGAATGTGTTTCATACGCAAGTTATATGCATTTAACAAGCTAAAAACACAACAACAACAAATACCAATACCAATACCAATAATAATTTAAACAAGTAGTTATAGTCCTTAAGAAACACCGATCAACAATTTGAATTAGATTTTGAATGAAACGAAACGGAAACAGAAAAAAAAAAATTAAAACATTTGACGCTGACAAACAAGATTGATAAGAACCCGTCCATAATTAGATTTTGTTCTTAAAAAAAAAAAAAGAAAACAACAAAAATAAAAACCGAAAAACCCAAAGCATATGGAATCGAGTAACACCTAGTTATATTTAGATATAACTGAAGATGTAGAGTCATTCAAGGCTTTGTCGGCGCTCGAAAATCGTCTTAGATTAGGAAGGCAACCAAAATAGTTTTACGCTCTCTCTATGTGTTTTTCCTTTGACTCGTATATGAAATAAAAATATATACATATATATATCAATATATTAGGTATATAAATCTAAGTTTTGAGGGTTTTTCATAGCCGCCTGAATGCATTGAAAATGCGTATTCAGGCTGAAATCTATAGAAGGCAGCAGAAGGCACACAATCATTGATAGCCTCGGTATCCCGATGTAGTTTCATTAGTTAACTCTGAGCTGAACCCACCTGATGCCACAGCACTCATTTTATTCTCCATGGATATTTTCTGTCTTGGCCTTGAGTATTGAGCCTAGGCCTTCGTTTCTCGACGTCTCTTGGATTGAGCTCTCAGGCAATCTGAATATCGAATTTGCTTCACAATTTCTCTTAGTTTTCAGCTGATCTCGATTCAAGTTGCTGGCCTGTAGCTTGGTCCAATAACGCCCCAAGTATGTGTCACGTAGCATTCTCGAGACTACTTCAAATTCCTCGTCTCAGGTATTCTTAGAGAACTAGAACACACACCAAGACCTTTTTATCGATAGAATATCTGCATTATATGCCTCACATAGCAAGCGAATGTCCCTAAGGTCCACTTTTCATTAAATGAAAACTTGACTGGAACAAGAAATAGGAATATATTGCTTACACTTTTAGTGAAGACAAACTGAGATTAATAAATAATCTTCAAGGTCCTCTCTTAAGCCCTCAAAACGTAGTCCTATGCCTAAAATTATATTGCATTTGAATAGAACGTTTTGCAAAATCGAATCTTGAAAATGTGTTTCGGATTGATATTTAGATGTTTTAAATAAGCAAAACAAAAACCAAAAATAAATACGGTATATTTACATAAACAAAACAAATACAAATACATATTAAAAGCGAAACGAAACAAAATTACAAATATATATACACTATATTTTATTAAATACAAAATATTTCGAATAACCAAAAAAAGATAAACAAAATGTTGATGTGTGAAATTTATAAGACTAGCATATTTCCTACCTAACAAAGTAATGAATAAATACGTTATGAGATATATATATATACAGATAACTATAATATATAAACTAGCAGCTAGTTCGATTCCACGATTCCAACTAATGATAAAGAAATATTGAATTTAATACAAACCAAAACCAAAACGAACAAAATTATAAAAAATCGTCTAACAAATTGATCGTACCTTTTTGCTGATTTAAATGGAATATATATACGTGTATATATATAGAGTTCTTGTATTCTAGTGTGTAAAGCGTGATGCAAACGTAATCGAAACAATATGTTTTAAATGGATATACATAACATATATACATGTATATGTATAATATATATACATATATATATATATATATTTGATTAGCTCGTAATGCAACTTAGATGATGGCACTTTAATGGGATTTGCTTTTTATATATATACATATGTATGTGCGTATACATGCTGTACTAGAGTTAACTGAAGCAAATTTATATCGTATATAGCATATAGATATAGCTGTGTGTGTGTGCGTTAACTTTTAGGCATTAGTGTAACTCTTGCGATGTTTCAGAACAGAAAAATTCGAGAATTTAAATATTTTTATATGCAAAGAAAACGAATGGAATCGAATCGAATCGAATCGAATCGATAAACCGATAGCCAATAGAACATGTAGTTAAGGGCAAACATAATTGATATAACTATAAAACAACAACAACAATTACGAATAACAACAACCACAGAACGATAATCAAAGCGCGCACACATTTACGATATTTAGATTAGTTTTTGTTTTCTTTTTGGGCACCAAGTCTTATAGCATAATCACGACCCCCTCACACTCACTCTCTATATTACATACATACACATACATTTTCACTTGTAGCATGTACCTAAGCTAATATATATACGAGTACATAGTTATATATTTTAGATACCTAAGTGCATGGGTTAGACAACGAATTGCCGGGCAACAAACGAGGGAAGAACTTGACATGACTAAATTGAAATCGAACGAAGAGAGAAGCAGAAGAGAAGCAGTAAGCCGAAGTGGCAGTCGGGTGTCATCGACTGCATAATACTCGTTTACAGTTCACTTCAGAGAGCTAGACCTAACAGAGTTTCTAGTGTCTCTCTGTTGACTTCCAGTTCTAGGAACTGAGGCTATACATTTCTGTATACCAAGTCTTTGCACTACGTAAACGAGTATTGCTAACAAGATATGTACATTCCCTGGGCCTAAACCTCCCCCCGCGCCAATACAAAACAAAAAGAGGAAGAATTAATTGATCTTTCGATTAGCAACGATTTGATATGATTGTCTTTAGCTAACTTAAAGACATCTGATGAGAAATCCAAGCCAACTCACCCAACTTATACACACTTAAAATTTACCTATTTTCTTAGTAACTTAACCATGTGTACTGAATGTTTTTTCTACTTGGTGTCCTTTACTTAAAAACAAAAACAAAACATAAATATTTATATATAAATGGATAAAGATCAAGCGAAATTCTTAAGTGTAAGCGTTAAAATGAAATACTTCTTATATCAAAAACCAAGCACACCGATACATTTAGCATATATATATAACAATATCTAACAATATGGAACATGGCATACGATAAGCAAAAATCGTATATCGTATGTATATATATATATATTATATATCATGTACTTACTATGAAGTTATATAAACTTATTCAGATATGCGTACCTTTTTAAGCAACTAATTCAATGTTAATGTGAAGAAAGCATACATATGTATCGATAAATATATGTACGTGTATAGGGACTACCCCCATTTAGATGCGTTAGGGGAAGGCATGCAACACACCGTCTCAAGACCAAACAATTAACTTTAACACAATGAGCCGCAAATTTGTATTTATATATATACATAAATATAGTATATATATATATATATATATAGGGAAGATCTAAGTAAAACAATCGAGTTACGATTCAAGCCGTTAAATAACAGAATTTTTAGTCAAGTAACAGAGCAACAACAAATCCCATTGATAGATAATTTCGATAAATATGATATAAGAACTTTTGACTTTTATGGCTGTTTAGAGATTTTATAATAAATATACTTATGATATAAAAAAAAAATACACACACAAAATATACATATACATACACACACACATTGAATCTTTTGCCCCATAGAGAACTTTCCCCACTTTTGGTGCCCAAGACGTGGCAATCCTCAACTTTAACTCTTAAAATCTTTTGCTCTTTAAACTTTATGTCTCTCTCTCTCTATATATATATAAACAAATCATATATATACAGCTCTATGTCTGGAATCTGGCACAATCTAAGCCCCGCTCTACGCTCCGAGCAGCGAATATTTGTAGCCCCTAGAGAAAACACTAACGGCAGAAAGAGAAGGAAAACAAAAATGAAAAATGAAAATCAACAAACGAAAATTGTGAAATTTAGTGTCTTTACACTTTAAAGAGTATATACAAAAAATAAAAATAAAATTTAAAAAAAAGAAAACTTTACTAAATCGAATTGAATGTAGATCGGGTTATGGCCACGATAATTGTATGAGAGCATAACTCACACACACACACACAAACACAGATAGACACACACAGTTATAGAGATACGTGAATACAAAATATGTCTACATACAAATTATGATAAATACTCGTACTTATGCCTAAAAGGATAAACGTCTAGCTAATATCTACGATCAAACAAAATAAAAAGCAAATGAATTACAAATAAATGTCTATATATTATGTATATGGAAAATATAAAATACAAATGATTTAAAAAAATATAAAAAAATACAAAAAAAAAAAAAAAAAATACTAAAAAAAAAACAAAATTATCAAAAGATAAATAAAGTGTTTTAATAAATTGAAACTTCCATGGGAGACAGAAGAGGGAACAGGGCTAAAGAGTGCCTGACTAGAAAATACCCCAATTCTCTAGCTTATCAACGAAATTAAAGCATGAATTATCAAGGAATTTGAGAAAACTTTGCTATGCATTCAAATGCCATTTTTTACTTTATTGAAAAATAAAATACAAACAAATTGAAATGGAAATAAATACCGAAACAAATCAGAATGTTTGCTTCCACTCTCCAGAATTTATTCAAGTCGAACACATCCGTTTACTGTTGCTCTATAGCTCCATTACAACATACATGTATATTGTCAAAATTGTTTGTTCTGTTTAGGGAAGGAAATCGAGTTTAGTAAGTAGACGATGTATGTTCAGTCTGCAAAATTCCAAATCGTCTTTAGTTTGCTTAGAGAATCCACAAATATTTTTTAGCTTACCAAACAAGAACGAAAGAAAACACAATCCCTATATATATGTATAGAGTGTTGATATATATATATATATATAGCGTGTATCTATGGTGAAGAATTGTAGCAATTGCAATTATTGATCATAGATTTCCGATAAGTGAGTAGCTCGTAGCTCGCAGCTCGCAGCTCGCATCGCGCAGCTCGTAGCTCGTAGTCGCGGCCCGCGTCTCAATAGCAACGCGCTCTGTTGTTGCTGTTGCAGTTGCTGTTGCAGTTGCAGCTGCAGTTGCAGTTGCAGTTGCTGGTGTTGTTTACACGTTATGAAACGGCGTCTCTATGTTGTTTAAGCTGATCATGGGCCAGACACTATCGGAACCGGTGACCACCAAGGACTCGTCGCGCTGCTCCAACTCCTTATACTTAGTGGGCAGCAGCTGCATGCAGGGCTGGCGCGTCGAAATGGAGGACGCCCACACACATATTCTATCCCTGCCTGACGATCCCAACACCGCCTTCTTCGGCGTCTACGACGGCCATGGGGGCGCGGCTGTGGCCAAGTTTGCGGGCAAGCACTTGCACAAGTTTATTACCAAGCGGCCGGAATACTTCGGCAGCTCCATCGAATTGGCCATGAAGCGCGCCTTCCTCGACTTCGACCGCGAGATGCTGCACAACGGCGGCTGGGGCGAGCAGATGGCTGGCTCCACGGCCTGTGTGGTGCTGATCAAGGATCGGCGCCTCTACTGTGCCAATGCCGGCGACTCGCGAGCCATTGCCAGCGTGGGCGGTGCGACGATCGCCCTCTCCGAGGACCACAAGCCCTGCAACGATGGGGAGGTGAAGCGCATTCTGGCCGGCGGCGGTCGCGTAGAGAACAATCGCGTCAACGGCAACTTGGCCCTGTCCCGTGCGCTGGGCGACTTCATGTACAAGCGAAATACCAGCAAGAGGCCGGAGGAGCAGATTGTCACTGCTAACCCGGACGTGACGACCTGCGATATCGACGACACTTGGGAGTTCATTCTGTTGGCCTGTGACGGCATCTGGGATGTGATGAATTCCCAGCAGGTGGGTGACTTTGTGCGCGAGCGCATCGGCTACGGCATGCAGCCAGACGTGATCTGTGAGGAGCTGATGACCTACTGCCTGGCACCGAATGCCTACAACTATGGACTGGGCGGCGACAATATGACCGTTATACTCGTATGCATGCTGCACGACAAACCCTACGAGGACCTGAAGGTGCGCTTCGGCTTCAAGACAGGTGGCGTTGGCGATGCCTTGCCAGTCCTAAAGGTAGTTACACCCCTCTCTCTATCTCTATCTCTTTCTATATCTTATTGATTTGTCTTCAATAGTATCAATTGCCGAGACCTACCAGCAATCGTCATCTGGAGAGTGCCTGAGCTGGCGTTTTTGGATCTGAGATTTGCAGACTTTGTTTCGTTTTTGTTAATCGTTGAAGACCTTTTTTTTTGGCATATCACATAATTCACTCAAAGTTTCAACATTCGACAATGCTGACATGTAGTTTTGTACCTACCTCACTACATATATGTATATGCGTACATGCATCTATAGTTTTGGCTAGCCGATCTTATCATCAGACATATCTCACAGGCCCTACCCAAAAATCCAGTAGCTCTTTAAATTCCCAGTCATATACGCTATTATTAGTCAATTGCAAAATAAAACAACTTGAATTGCAAAAAACTTTTGATGCATTGCTAAAAAGATTGTCTAATAAAGCGTTAAGCCGAATGTGGAAGGCAGTTTTCAGCTATAGATGGCGCCTTACCTGTTTGACGAAATTATTTGCTTTTGTCTGTCGGTTGTGAATGATTTCAGCTGAGGAAAGTGCAGTAACGATCGAAGCTCCCATATTCATACCTGATTTATATATATTTTGTAAATGAAAACTGTGAGTCGCAAAAAGCTCATTTCATTTGTCTTTGAGATAAATATAAATATTTGCATATAAATATATATGTGCTGTGTGAGATGGAGCATTCAACTGTAGATGGCGCTTTGCCTGCTGAATGAAAAATAATGAAGTGCATATTTGTTTTTGAACTGTGGCATCGGTTTAAGGATGCTCTTGATACTCTGTAAGGTTTTCAGGAAAGCCTATGCAGCACATAATCATCTCTCCAAATATCATACAAGAAGGTTTTGTTGCATTAGCCCCTATTGCAATTTCTGAGCGCCCCCCAAAAAAACATCGACAACTTGTTTATTTTCAGGGATCGGTGGATCTCACTCGTTTAATTTGAAATAAATGTGCGTTCTATAATAATACATAACTCTATATATATACGAAAATATATATAATTAAATCGATATACATATATACGAATATATATATGTGTATGCATATACAATATCTTTGGTCTGTTTTAGCTGTAGTTTGGATTTGTGTAGAGTATACAAAATGCAGTGTGCTTTGCTACAACAAAATCGAGAAAGGAGGGAAATAAAATAAGACATTGAGCAAATTATAAAAAATAGAAGTAATACAAAGAGAGGCACACAAAAATGTGCAAAATAATAGAAAGATTTGACAACTATGCAAAATACATATGTATATATGTATGCATGTATATTAGATATAGACATATCTATATTTGTATGTGTGTATGCGTGTAGAGGCTAATTAGTGTTTTGTAGTTATGTCAATTTGTTATTGCACCACATGCGGCCGTAAAGTGCTTAAAAATAACGCGACACATGCCAGACCCGACCACCCGAACACCAGCACCCGGCACCCGAGGCAGGAGGTCAGCTCGGCCCGGCCCGGCGCATGGCGCACTCTAAAGATACAAGACTAGAGATTCGCTCGTTTCTTGGACTTCCGTGCCGAAAGCAGGAAATCGCAATGCCTTACAAACAAAAGAATTCTAATTACTCTGTAAGTATATATGGCAAAAATAATATTTATATATATATAAGTGTGTGTAAATTCTAAAATCAGTGATATATATATAGCTTTACGTATATATATATATATATATATATAATGTGGTTTAGTGCTAAAAGAAAAAATACTGGTTATATGTTTTTCGCAAGTCTCTAAATCCTCGTTACAACTAGGCGTAGATCGATTGAGTTTCTGTTTCAGTTTCAGTTTCAGTATCTGTCTGTGTCTCTGTCAGTGTGCGTGTTTTTTGATTGATTGGAATCGTCTACTCTCTAACGGTACTTTAGCTCTTTTTCGTATTTATCACATATTTGTTTACTACATAAGCTCCTAGAAAATCGAATGCAAAATGGGATTTTTTTTTTGGTTTTGGTTATGTTTTTGGTTAAATATTTTTGGTTAAGGTTTTTGTTTTTGGTTTTAACTTTGGATTTTTGATCATCTCCAAATTGTAAATCTCTGTCTCGTTTGTCTTTTTACAGTCTGCTGTTGGTGTGGTGGGCGTGGCTAGGCGACCATTGCATAGTTGCCGGTCAGCTCGAAGGGACTCGTCTTGGCCGAATGCGTGAAATTGTTCTTGGGCGAAAAGTCGACGGGCTGCTCCTGCTCCTGCTGCTGCTCTCGGTTCCTGTCCGCATCCTCGCCAGCCGCCGGCTGATGGGCATAGGCCTGATGATGAGGATGATAGGGCAGCGCTAAGGGCAGCGTCAGCGGCAGCAACTGCTCCTGGTAGATTGCGCCCGGATGCTGGAGCATTGTGGGCTGCAGCAGGCCATTGCGCTTATAGCTTTCGTAGTGCTCCAGACGACCGGGATAGCCATAGGCCAGAGCCTGAGCCTGTGCTTGGGCCTGGCGGCGATCCTTCTTCTGCAGCAGCTTGTGCGCCAGCGTTGACTTTGCCGAGTCCGGCAGAGCCGCTGCAGAGGCAGCTCCTGCTCCTCCTGCCTCCAGTTGCTCCGACTGCTGCTTGGGCAGTGGCAACACTTGGGTGGCACGGGCCGGCGCCTCGCTGCGATTCTTCATGCAGGAGGACTCCTCGTGCTTGTACAGATAGGACTTCAGAGCGAAGGCCTTGCCACAGCGGGCGCACGTGTGTGGCTTGGTATTCGAATGGGTTTGGATGTGGGCGCGCAAGTTGGACTTGTCCGCAAAGGCCTTGCTGCAGACGATGCACTTGAAGGGCTTCTCGCCCGTGTGGGTGCGTATGTGGCCTTGCAGCAGCCAGGGCCGCGAGAAGCACTTGCCGCAGTACTGGCACTCGCAGCCCTGGTTGTGGGTGCGCACGTGCATCGAGAAGGCGGGCATCGAGACGTAGACCTTCTCGCAGAATGGACAGTGGCGCGCCTTCTTGTCCATGATTGACCTGGGCAGGAAGAGAGCTCAAATAAGTCCACGACTATTGTAGATGATGGAGTCAGGCTCACCTGTGTGTTTGTCTATGGCGTGCTAGATTCGAGGACGTGGAATATTTCTTGCCACACTCGGGGCAGATGTGCTCATCCTCTAGCAAGCTGCCGTTGCTGCTGCTGCTGCTGCTACCGCCGGCCTGAATGGCTGATTGCTCGCTGGATTGGCTGCTGCTGCTGCTGCTGGCGATGCTGGCGCAGGAGTTCGAGTCGGAGATGGTGGAGCGACGCAGTTTCCTGCGGTCGAACACCTTGTGGCTGTAGGAGTTGTAGGTGGAGTCATCATCCGACGAGGCATAGAATATGTTGTTGCCGTTGCTGTTGTTGCTGTTGCTGTTGTTGTTGTTGTTGTTGTTGCCGGCCATGTTGTTGCCTTCGGCAGCTGTGCTGAGCGGTCCAGCCGCCAGTGTCACATTCGCCAGCTGCGTCAGATTGTACAGCTCCTCGGGTATGGGTGTGGCCAGCTGATCTTTGCTCATGGCGTCTGTAGTCAAGCAGAGCAGAGCAAAAGAAAAGAAAAACAAACAATAAATTCCATGTGACGTATAAAAAGCATAAAGCAACCTGCTAATGCGCAGCAGATGCGTCACAATTAGCCACACAGCATCAACAAATATAGCAAGTAAGAATACTCTAGTCGGCATTGCCCGACTAGCAAATACCCTGAGTCTTTCTGAATTCCTTATAACACTACATTACTCTATTTAGACAGGTCATGCCAGCTTCCACTTCTAGGCTGATCTTTAGCAGCGGAGGCAAATATTGCATCAGTATTCATCATGAGTCATCTGAGGTAAGTACAAACCTATCCCAAGCCTGTGCGGCTCTCTTGCAGCTCTTGTATTCTAAAATGTATTTTATGTTTTCAGATTATATCGCTTCTTCAGCTAAAAGTGTCCCACGCCAAACAGCCTCGGTTGGATATTATTTAGCAGAGATAACATATTAGCTTTACATGTCTATATGTATATTTAATGTTAAATAAGGCCTGTACATACCATTATTTATTAAATACATATTGTATATAGTTCTAATGTAGATTTAAATCCACACAAACTATGTAAATTTAAAGGCAATAAATAGTGTTTGTCAATAATTAAACTGTTTTTTATTTAGCACTGGCATTTTTTTTGTTGGCAGTTAATGTTCAAAAATTAACCGTCAAATATATGCACTATGCAAAATATCGTTGCATAACTTAGGGGGCATACGGCCGTTGGGACCCATATTTGAACGGCTATGTAGAGAAGTACCAGGCGAGCAGAAATGAATAGCAGCTAGCTAACACTACAATATTGGCTCACTGCTATTTAACATAATAATGCAAATGGTCTGTGAATTAACAGTACATCAACAGTACACTGTTACTAAACTGTTAAGTAGCATTTTTCACCCTACTGCTCATTTCTGTGAGCCTGGTACTTCGCGAAATGCTCTGTTCCAGTGTGGAAGCACCAGGCGTACAGGAATGAGTAGTAGGGTGAAAAATGTTACTTAACAGTGGGTCAACAGAATTCTGTTAATGCACTGTTAGTTAACATAATTCTGTTAATGCACTGTTAGTTAACACAATTCTGTTAATGTACTGTTAGTTAACATAATTCTGTTAATGTACTGTTGGTTAACATAATTCTGTTAATGTACTGTTAGTTAACATAATTCTGTTAATGCACTGTTAGTTAACATAATTCTGTTAGTTCACATAATTATGTTAGTTAACATAATTCTGTTAGTTAACATAACAGCGTGCTCACAGTGTACTGTTAATCTATTGTTAACTAGAATTGGTTACCCTACTCAGCATTTCTGTTTGCCTGGTACTTTACCAAAATTCCGTTCAAATTTAAACGGCCCAACGGCCACAACAGCCGATCTGTGAGGCTGCAATGATGTTAGTTAACATTACAGCGTGCTCACAGTGTACTGTTAATCTATTGTTAACTAGAATTGGTTACCCTACTCAGCATTTCTGTTTGCCTGGTACTTTACCAAAATTCCGCTCAAATTTAAACGGCCTAACGGCCACAACAGCCGATCTGTGAGGCTGCAATGATGTTAGTTAACATTACAGCGTGCTCACAGTGTACTGTTAATCTATTGTTAACTAGAATTGGTCACCCTACTCAGCATTTCTGTTCGCCTGGTACTTTACCAAAATCCCGCTCAAATTTAAACGGCCTAACGGCCACAACAGCCGATCTGTGAGGCTGCAATGATGTTAGTTAACATTACAGCGTGCTCACAGTGTACTGTTAATCTATTGTTAACTAGAATTGGTCACCCTACTCAGCATTTCTGTTCGCCTGGTACTTTACCAAAATTCCGCTCAAATTTAAACGGCCTAACGGCCACAACAGCCGATCTGTGAGGCTGCAATGATGTTAGTTAACATTACAGCGTGCTCACAGTGTACTGTTAATCTATTGCTAACTAGAATTGGTCACCCAACTCAGCATTTCTGTTCGCCTGGTACTTTACCAAAATTCCGTTTAATTTTGAATGGCCCAACGGCCACAATAGCTGATCTCTGAGGCTACAATTTTAAATGTTAAACGGTTTCTGTCGACTGGTTGTGTTAATAGCCTTGGACTTGGGAAACTCTGCTGCTATTGCCAGTTGCATGAGAATTTCGTAAATTTAACGGATTTTGGGCTTCTTGAAGCTACGTCCTTGGTATGCTGTAACCAAGAATGTGTGAGTCAACTGACTGATAGCTATATGTGTACTTTCCGCCTGTTACATAGACTTTCGCAAAAGCATTATACCCATATTTCCCAATTTAATGTGTTCAGGGTATAAAAATAAATCACATATCTATCTGTATATTTATATAAATATGTATATGAATATATGTGTGATGTCTGTTAGTTATAAATATATTTTTGCTACTATTGCAAAAACCAGACTGGCCAACGGTTAGGTGGGCGAACAGAAAGGGTATAGGGTATGCAGAATTCGTTGAGCTGCGTCATTTCTTTTATTTATATTTCATCAATTTATAATTAAGGACGAGCCAAGAGGCCAGCGTGGCCAACGTTGTCTGCATCATCGTCGTCACCTTGTTGCCGCGGCTGCTCGCACACACGGGGCGTATGATTAACGTCAGCGCACAGCCGGCTCTGGCGCACTTGTTGGCTGCATTTTCTTCCACTTCTAATAATTTTTTTGTTTTTGGGTGCATCTGCGAAATAAATTCACGTCGCACTGCGCATAATTTGTGCATGTTGTCTTGGCATTGATTAATCTCGCACGTAATAGCAACCATCTCCAACAAACGCAGTGCTAGCTAGCTACGCTAGGCTATCCATCCATCCATCTATCTTATCTACCATTGCGTATTTATATTTAACGTAAAAACACAAACAAAATGTGATAAATCTACACAGTTCAGTTCTAGTGATCCTAAGTTCTTGGGTCCTTCGTATCCTACAGGTTTGCCTATGCAGCATTCTAATATTAATAGATCTAATCTAATTAAATCTAATTAAAATTGTGTAAATCCATAAATTCACTTATATGCTTACTGAAGCTATTTAATTTTATCGAACTTTCTCTACATTTACCTAAAAATTCACATTTATCAAATATATTCTATGCTATGCAGTTCTATTTATATTGATTAACTATTTATAATCTCTTATTGATCTGAATTCTATTTCTGTTCAACTCTCAGCTCCTATCTGCTCCTTTGAGTTTTTTATTATTTCTACGAAATCGTTTCCAATTTTTTCTTAAATTTCTTTAAAAAATTATAATGCTTGATATTCCTCGAATCATTCTAGATTCAGGTGGCACTCGCATACCCTTATATATATAATTAATGTTATACGATGAACTATTAAAATTTCCAGGCAATCAAATTTTATATTTCCGATCTCACTTCGTCGTTGTTTATTGTTTAAAGTTCTCTTTCTCTCTCTATCTTTATGTTTTCGTAATCGTCTAAATAATCGATTAATGCCTATTGCCACAACAACAATAACAATAACAAATATTGCGATGACGGGGGCGGGGGTGGGGCTAGCGTTGCGGAGGTCATGTGCACCTTGGATTTGTTTGTTTTTCTTTTTCTTTCTTTTTCCGTTTCAGACTTTCTGTTTGGCTCGGCCTGAGGCCAGCCGCGTGATGTAGGCGTGGTGCCCGTCCGCCTAGATCTTAACAAAGAACTAGTGGGCGGCCATTTGGCCTAAACAACTAGAGACTTTTGCAACCTGTTGCGTCTTCTTGGCGGCCAGTTCCCAAAAGATTTTCTCTTTTTGTTTTTCTTTTTAAAAAAACATTTGAAATGAAATTCATTTCGTAGAGTACATTAAAATGTTTGTACCCATAAAAATAATTCCTTGTGCAAAGCGGGAGAGGAAGAGGAAGGGACAGGGACAGGGGCAGCGGCAGGTGGCAAAGAATGTGCAGCTTTAACTACAACAAAATCGACCCATAAAATATTAGCTATGATCTACACCAGACAGTTTGTATATACATACATATATATCGGTATATATATATCGTATATATACATATTCATAATTTGTGCCTTAACATTTATTTATACTTTCAATAAGTGTAGAGACCCCGCAGCACCCGTTGATGTGGCACAACCACCTGGTAATTTTCGCCCATTTAGCCAGCATACCTGTTCCACAGAAATTTCTACTAAATTATTTATAGGACTTTGACTGAGAGATTCGGCTGTTGTTGTTGTGGTTGTCGTTGTCGTTGTTGGGGGCTTTTTCTGCCAATTTCATGAAAATTGGAAACAAAGCTGACAAGTGGGAAATTTGTGGCTAGCTATGAATGTATTTTGCTTTTTGCTTTTCCGAGACCTCCTCAATGCTGTGCCATAATTCTGGTCGATGTCAGTTGAGCGCGAAAGATGAAGATGAAGACGAACCGAACAAGAAGCACCAGTCCGAGAGTCGCATGTTTCTATGACAGGCCGTTAATTAATTATTCGTTGGCCCGTGCTGCGATCGCAGATCGGTAATCGCAAATGACATCTCAAAGAGCAGGAAAAGCGCTGCTGCTGCTGCTGCAGCATTTAATGTTAATTGGCGCAGGCCGCCACAGCCAGCAGCACAACTATCAGCACAGCAGAGCAGAGGGGTAGGTGCTGCTGCCCGCTGGCTGCGGACTGCTGGCTGGGGCACCTAGCATGTAATATGGGCACATGTTGCTACCAACTCAAATCGAACTGCATTAATTTGGTTAAGACTATTTAAAGCTGATAACTGTAGAGCTCAAAAGTCTAGAGGGAGAGAGTCAGAGAGAGAGAAGACGACTGTATATATGAAGAGTTAGTTCGGGAGAGTAGGGAAAGGGTATTCAGAGACAGAAAGGAGAGTAGGTGAGGGAGCAAGAGGAGAGTATATGCGCTAAGGATGTGTTAGTGAGAAAGAGGGAGTCTGTATCATAATGAGTATTAGTGAGAAGCTGATAATGAGCTGCAGCGTTTCATTGCTTTTCAATACCTAAACAAATAAATTCTGTTCTGCTTAATAGACTCGACCGTCTCCTACGCAAACGAATCCATTTTCTGCATTATTAACGAATTAATTATAAAATATGTTTTATAATGCGAAATAATCTTGAATGATAACATCCCACTTATTAGCCTGTTCTGTCATGGCAGGCAGTGAATGTATTTAACAGCTCCACCACATGCTACCTTTCATCAAGTCAGCCCCCACAGGCCCCAGTCCACAGCCCACGGTCCACGGTCCGCGGTCCGCGGTCCACATGAGCCAAAAGTGTTTCGAGTGCATTTTGTAAACTCGACGCACAATGGACATGAAAATGCTTTTCTTTTATTTGTCTTCTATTTTCATTCTGCTTCTTTATTCTTTCCCATTCTCGTACATATATATTTACGGGCAAGAATCTGCGCAAAATGCGCTCGGGCCGAAGAAAGTTCAAAGTCCTGTTAATGTACACAAAGCAAAGAAATGTTAATGGCTGACGTGGCTGAGGGGGCGTGGGGGGAGAGGGGCAGAGCGGCGGCAGGGGATGGAGGCACCACTGGCCTCGCTGGCCTTAACAGTGTTGGCTCGGTGGCTCGGTGGCTGCGTGCCACAGACTCGAATGCGCGTTTCGACTATTTATAGAGGTGGATAGAGTAAGAGGGTGAGAGAGAGAGAGCGAGAGCGAGAGATAGTTACAGCCAGGGCAGGAGGAAATACACGCATAGTTTACATTTAAGTTCAAACTTGAAAAAAGATGCAAGATGCACGATGCACAATAAACAAATCGCTGGGCAGTGCGGCGCCTGCTGTGCCGGCCTAGAAGTCAATGCCACGGCAGTCGACTGACTGTCAGCCACACACAGGACTTGCCCCACACACGCACACCTACGCGACTTCCTGCCTGTTGCCCCTTTCAGTTTCGAGTTGATCTTTTTGTTTATAGCTCCATCAGCGCTGGACTCATTGCCAGTCACATTGGGCACATGTTTACGCCGCCTAATTATAAACAAAATCGGGACACAAAGGATCTCTGAGCTATTTAAATACATACATACATGTATAAACAGTATATGTCAGATTGATGTAAATATCTCATCATCCAAATACAATTTAAGTTGGTTTATCGGTTTGCAATTGATCTGTGATCTGGTCAATCTTCATGTACGCATGTGTGTAGATCGTATAAATATATAATCCCATATACATGAATATATATAGAATATATATATATGTGTTTTGTACTCAACGTCCTTTGAGTGCCGTTAGATAACCTGATTGACATTTTATATGGATCATAGATTTAATAATTGTGTTTCTTATAGATACTCCTTTTTGGACTCCATTACTAACAATACTATTCTACTACTAGTAACTACTACTAATACAACTATTATTACTAATATTACTAATCCTACTAATACAACTAATACTACTAATCCTACTGATACAACTAATATTACTAATCTTACTAATGCAACTAATATTATTTATACTACTAATGCCACTACAACTACTACTTCTAGCACTACTACTACTAGTACTAAAAACAATACTACTAATACTTATACTTACTACTAAAACACGCGCTTTGTTTTCCAAATCATTTCCTTCAATTCTACGCAGTTTTTGTCTGATCAGAACGGCGCATGGCATGACTTAGCTGAAATACAGTTGGCTATATGACATATATACTCTAGCCTATCTATACTCTATATTCTTTAGTCGAGATGTTTACGCAACTAACGTGAGAGAGATGGCATGTAAGTTGTCAACAGCTCTTTCGGTTGTTGTTGTAGGGCAGTTTCTATGAGTGCAACCCATCTGCTTGGCCCGATCATTGCCAATGCAAACACATTTCTCACGTAAATGTCAAAATATCAAAGAAATCATAATATTAATTTAACAAGTGTGGCCCGATAGTTCTCTCTCCCTCCCACTCCCTCTCTCTATGGGATAATTAAAAAGAAAAAACATGTTGCTCATCTGCCAAAAGATTTGTCTTCAGTATATAGTATAAGAATAGCCCAGAGGTTTTGCTTATTGGAGCAATTGTGTAATTCGCAAACGGGATAGACACAGACAATAGGCACACCCTATACTAGAGATAGGGATATAGACATGCAGATATCTACATATCAAGTTAGATGGATACTCACCCCAACTGTAAGACACGCTGTGGATCAGGAAGTTGAGCCCTGCGTGGGGGTTAACTTTGGTCCAAATGGATGTGAATGGATCGTTGCTGTTGCTTGGCTCTCAATATAGACGATGATTCAGCCGAATGTTTGGTGTCGAAGCGAAATCAATATAATATATCACCACGCACAGCACTCGGCTCCTCCCCCGGCCGCTGCTCGGCGCTGTCTGACTGTTCTTGATTCACGATTTGCACGAGCTTTTCATCACAAGGAACAACAAGAAGATACAGATACAGATTGAGAACGAGATACGTTTAATGCACAAGTGTTTTGTTTTCGGCCCGACTATTTAATCGATCCGCTCCGATCCGATCCGATCCAATCCTCAACTATTGCTATTGCGGATCACTGGGCAGGCAGGCAATGTTTTGCACGGTGCGCGCACTCGCTCTTTATAGCTCTCTCTTTCTTTATTATGTTTTCTTTTCCTTTCTTTTGGTACGAACGCAGCGAGATCTCGGAAAGAACTGAACTTTCTTGGCGATGGCACTTACAGTTTTTACATCTCTGCCGCTGCCGCCACGGCTGCTGCTGCTGACGTCGAGGAGGTGACGATGCCTACGCCGACAGCCGACAGCCGACAGTTGAGAGCCGACAGCTAGCAGCTGTTTGTCCGAGGATCGGCCGCCGAATGCCTCTCGGTTCTCCCCTTTGGAACAAGTGTGTGCGGTTTAAAAATAAATTGAAAATAATGTTTTTATTATGCTCCCTCTGTCACTCGCTCGCTCGCTCGCACGTTCGTTCGCTCTAACTCTCCCGCTGCTGTGCCGTGCACTTTTTCCAAAAGGGAAACACACACACACCGAGAGAGAGAGAGACACACACACTCACGCATCTATTCGCCGTGCTTGTGGCTTCGGCAAGGACCACTGCGCAGAATATTTCTAACACAGCGTCAAGTTGGCAGCCAGACGACGGCAGCCAGTGTCAAAAACCTCACAGATCGCTGCTGCCCCCATGCCGCTACAAGCCATCTCTCGAAAGAGAGCGGGAGCGGGAGAGAGAGAGAGAGAGAGAGACCGAACGCTGCGGTTGGCAGCAATTTCGCCGGTTCAGATTCGAATTCTGGGCTGTTGGTGACGCAGTCGAGCAATTTGGCATTTTGAAATAGCTGTTTGTACTTTTTGCGTGGCCAGCCAAAGATAGATTCGCTCACCTGACGCCGCCAGAACCCCGCCCCCGCCCGCTCGACACCGCCTCCCGCACGCCGTTTTCAAACGAACGTCTGCAACACAGGTGTTGTCGGCAGCTACTCTCAACAGTTGAGTTGCCCAAGCGTACTGAACTTAATGTCGCTCTGTCAGGTGTTGCCACGGCAATGGGTCTATGAATTGGGCATAGCTCTTACGTATTTGCCATATTCTATAATCGCATACCTGCGTACTACGTACGTACAGATCTGTATGAATTCTCTATGATTTATGTCTCTTGTTGTTGCCTTGATTTGTGTCTGGTTCTAAGTGGATTTTGTTGTTGCTGCAAGATTTATACTGTTGCAGTTGCAGTTACAGTTGCACGCATTCAATATTATATATAGATCTTTTTACAACTGACTGCAGGAACTCAAGAGATCTCAAAGTGAAAATGATAAAAATTGTATATTTAGATAAACAGAGCAACAAACTGTAGTAAAAATTTTATTGATACTCTTTCGAAAACATGTAATTTACATAATGCAAAGAGGAATTCCTAGTTCATTTCAAAGTACTATTTCTATTTTATGTATAAGGATAGTATACGATCAATATTGAACCTACTCGATATGAAATTAACAACTGTACGATCAATGGGATCTTTACAATGTTTTCCGTTGTTGGGAATTTTCACACTTTGCTGTGGCCTCGACCCACGCAATACGAAAACAAAGGAAATCGAATTGGCTTGCAGATAAAGCTGTGCCATCCCATAGCTCAGGGTGTTTTGCTGTCTGGCGCCAACATGGAAATGCAATTTGAATACAAATGCACACATACATACGTACGACACGTATATGTATATGCTCGCGTATAGAGGGTCAAGTTAGGCCAGACGCCATGCATCACAGTAGCAGATCAGCTTTTGGACCAAGAAAGTGGCGACAAAGCCGAGTGGTTGCTGGGAAGCGGGGCAGATGGACACTTGAAGGGGGTGGAACAGTGTGACATGTGCTAAAGACATCCGTGGCAGCTTGCGTCGGCTTTAATCACGGCAATTAATAAAAGAGAGACGCCTGCCGCCACAAAGGAAGGAAGTATCAGAGAACGAGAAAGAAGATGCAGAGAGTGAATGAGGGATGGAGAGGGGGGGGCGACGGGGGAAAGTTACACTGCATCACCCGGAGCGCAGAGTTTCTGGAAAAGTGAAACGCGACTGGCGGCCATAAATCTATTTTGGTCCTGATTCCTCAGCCAATCTCCCACTGCTCTCGACACTCGCTAAGGCCAGGGGCCTCACTTGCTGCGCAATTGCAGTTGGCGATGCCGAAGACTCTTCTTATTTTTAACTCCAGCCTTTCTTTGCGTAGGTAAGATGCAGTTGGAGATGCTCCCATAAATCCCACATAACAACGAAGCCAAAACAGAGAAGAGCGAGCAGAGGGCTGCGGCAGAGGCAGAGGCTGAGGCAGGCAGCTTTTCCAATTATTTACAGAGATAAATAAAGCGAAATCGCCTTAATGTGAAATTCAACAGGCAGACAAAATGAAAATAACAACAACACAAATATTTCGCATTTCGCTGCTTATTCATTTCTTTTTTGTTTTGTGTAAATAATATTATAATCGATTTCAAATGAAAGACTCTTTAGCTTGCGGTTCCATAAATTATCTTGTTAATCTTTTTCGAATTTCTTAGAGTTCGTTTGCAGCCCATCACAATGGGTAAAAAATGAAATTCCTCTTTTAATAGGATTGAGATCCACTTCGTAGAACATGTTGTGAGGCCCAAGACTAACAGGGCAAGGCTATGTAATTTTATATAATACAATATATAATATAAATATAATTTACTTGGGTGAAAAAGCTAAAGATTGTTTTTTTTTTTTTTAGAAAAAATGAATGCTGGCAGAAAATAGTCTTACATATATTTACATCCAATTTTGTGTGAAAAGCTGCTCAGATAGCTCTCATTTCGTCACCCAATTTTTTCATTGATTACTGCGTCCTGTTTACCGTAGTTGTTGCATTGTTTAAATTATTGAACAATTAGTCAAAACATTTGTTTGTATCTGGAAAAACGGATTGCTGCGTGTCGGATCTGAGAAGTGGTCGACCCTCGGAGCAGAGCCGGATATGCTTGTAATTCCTGCATTCGAAGTCGAATTTCAAAGAGGAAAAGACAAAACATCATAAAGTTCTATTTTTAATATACGACAGGCGATTCAAATTAGGGGGAGTTGACGACTGACAGAGAAGGCGGCGAGCGGTGGGCAATGGGGAGTGGGCGAAGGTGCAGCGGGGATCGATCCCAAGCTATATTTGAATTCTGAAGTGCAAGTGAAGCGGCCAACGATTCCAAAGGTGGCTGCCACTTTGCGCAGGGCAAGAGAGTGAGGGGGTGAGGGAGCGAAGGAGCGAGGAGAGGGAGAGTGGCATGGGTGCATGCGCTTGGCGTGTGCCGCCACTTGATGTGAAAAAGGGAGTGGCAGTAGCAGAAGGAGAGTGAGAGAGAAAGAGAGGGAGGGACAGGCACTGCAATGCAATACATTTGCAACAGGCAGCGAGCAACCTGCGGCATGCTTAACGATACGCATGACAGACATATACATACACATATGCACATATGTACAATGTACATGTGTATATCCATATCCATTCAGCCACAGTTTTAAAATTCAAAGAAACAAAAGCGGAAATGTTGTTGTTTTCCTTTTTACTTTTAACAGCGGCAACAAGCAAACTAAACTGAAAAAACATCAGGCACATCATCATAATCGCCGCTGGATGCTTTTATATGACAATCGAAATCATTTGGCTATTGAACTTTTCGAATTTTGTTAGCATTAGCCTTATATAGTAATACTATGTTGCTTTTAGTCTTTGGCAGTTTCAAACTGTGCCAATTTAATAACAGCCCTGTCTAAAAGTTAACAGAGTTAACTTCTCTTAACAGCGTTAAATTAACTAGTTATAATTTCCATTCCATTTGGAGGACTTCTTTATTCTGCTGTTATATACATCGACGTGATATCGTGTACATGCAAACAATTCATTGATAATTATGGATACGAAATAATTCATATTTATGATATTTGTAGATAATTTTTTCATGTGTAACTACCATACTGCCCGGCAAACATGCTCAAATTTAAAAAATTGCGCCATTTTGTTGTCTGTGGCAATAATCATAATGTTAACTTAACAGAATCGTACTAAGCTATCGATAGTCATGGCTCGTCGACTGTGAGCGTGCGATAGTTTGAGTTATCGCAAAGTTGTCGACAACAATGTCATATTCGTGTTAAGCATTCTACAAATTCTCGAAATTTTCGCTCATTGTATTGCGAAAAACTATGAATTCGTATTGTTGGTGTTGAAAAGCAAGTGTAAAACTTCACGCAAACAATTGCAAAATCAATTCATAGCAGTTGCAACGCACATATTGCTTATACCAATTGCCAACAGAAAACATGGCGCCCACACCGTTGCCACTGGAGCAAATGCCCGGCGCGAATGCGGGCTATCTGCCAGCCGGTCAGGAAGGAGGCCCACGCATTAACACCATGTCTATGTCGGTGCTGATTGATTTCATCATACAGCGCACCTACCACGAACTAATGGTTCTAGCTGAACTGTGAGTGGATTGTAATCCTGCAATTCCTGCATAGGACTTGACACATTTTTTATATTATTTGCAGGCTGCCGCGCAAGACGGATATGGAACGAAAAGTGGAAATTTATGCCTATGCGGCACGCACACGACATTTGTTTACACGGCTCAATGCGTTGGTCAAGTGGGGCAACTCGGTGTCCAAAGTGGACAAAAGTTCTCAGATAATGAGCTTCCTGGATAAGCAGAACATGCTCTTTGTAGAGACGGCCGATATGCTGGCTCGGATGTCGCGAGAGACGTTGGTGCGAGCACGTTTACCCAACTTCCACATACCCGCCGCAGTTGAGGTCTTAACCACAGGCACCTACAATCGTCTGCCAACGTGCATACGAGAACGTATTGTACCGCCGGATGCGATTACGCCGGCGGAGAAAAGGCAGACATTGCTGCGTCTCAACCAGGTCATACAGCACCGCTTAGTCACAGGCAAATTGTTGCCACAAATGCGTGACTTTCGCATACGCAATGGCCGCGTCACCTTCGAGGTGAAACACGAGTTTAGCGTGGCCCTCACCGTCATGGGCGACAGTCCCACTGTGCCCTGGCGTCTCCTGGATATCGATATTCTTGTGGAGGACAAGGAGACAGGCGGTAACTGACGCAAGAAACAACATTTTACTGTCAATTATATCTTCTCTCTTGGCAGATGGCAAATCATTGGTGCATCCGTTGCAGGTCACCTATATACACCAATTGATTCAAGCGCGTCTCGTGGAGAACCCGAATGCATTGAGCGAGGTGTACAACTGTTTACACTACTTCTGCCAGTCGCTGCAGTTGGAGGTTCTCTACACTCAAACGCTGCGCTTGAACTACGAGCGACTCGACGACAACAATATCAACGTGGAGGAGTATGTGCCGGGTGTGAAACTAACGGTGTCATATTGGCGTGATCTCAAGTCGGAGCTGGGCTACCGCCTCACTGTTCAATCGGATCCCAGTGAAATTGGTAGACCTCTGGTCGTTGTCCATGTGCCCTCTTTAGGTGCCAAGGAGTCTGCCGAAGTGGCTGATCGGGCTGTACGCTCGGAGCATCTCTCCATGGAGCGGCTGATAGTGCACACCGTTTATATACGATCCGTGTCTCGCTTAAGTGATCTCAAGCTCGAATTCCAGGCTTTTCTTAAAGACGTTGACTGTGAGTGTAAATGTTCCCAGTTTCATTAGATTCGGCCCTATTTATTAATGGACCTCTTTCATTTCAGTTAACCTGCAAGGTACACCCGCAATTTTGACGGTGCCCGTCCTGTCACCTTGCTTGCGCGCCGAGCAGATTCACATAACCATTGACACGCACACTGGCATGTTCCGCTGTCACGTACCCAAGCACCTGGACTGTCCAATTACGGATGAGATGCAGGAGTGTTTGAATACGGATCGCAGCAAGCTTCCAGCTTTGCTATCGGAGCTACGCTATTGGATTACCCATCGTCGATGCGAGAAAACATTGCAGCATCTACCCGCTACAGCTACCGAAACTTTGCCTTTTCTCGCTCCACCCGAACAGGAACTGTTGCAGCCAGGCCGTCACAAGATCTATGTCAAGTTACATCGTCATCCCAATATTATTCTGGTATGTGCACATAAAATCTTTAGAAATGACTCAATAAATATCCTTTGTGGATTTTAGGTTGTTCAATTAAAGGAAAAGTCCGCCATGCCCAACGAAATGGAGTACACCTTCCATCTGGGCTTTGTGGCCTTTCAAAAGGATGAGAACGATGTTATAGACGAGTCGGCCAAGCAACTTGTTTCCATTGTAGCACAACCGCCATCAGAAATACCCAAATTTTACACAAAGCTAATACGTTTAATTGAGTTTGACACCTTTGTAGCTACACATGGCCCCGGCACTGAGGTCGACGGTGAGTTCTGCCAGCTTCGTTTGTTTAGACAGATATAATTGTTTTGATATATCCTTAGCAGAGGTGTCCCCACATAAGCGCAAGTCCAATGGTGATATTCTGGCACCACCGGCCAAGCAGCAGAAGACCATTTTCCCTGCATATTTTATACCAGAACTCGCGCACGTAGTAGCAATGTGCGATGAGAAGATACCATTCCTCAATCTGGCTCAAACGCTCTCTAAGTACCGCATTCCGCATAGCGGATTGCAAGTGGAGGCGAATGCCACGTCGTTGGTGCTGAAGATTCTGGCATTGCCCAAGCCTGGCACCCATCAGGCACCGGGAGCGACAGGCGAACAGAAGCCAGCTCCGGCACCCAGTACATCATCGGCGCTACCAAAGATCGAGCCACATGTCTGGGAAGATCTTATGCGGCGCGTTCTGTCGATCTCGGTGCGCTCGCAGACCAACAAAAACAGCCAGGTGCGCATCTGGGTGGTCGAGTTTGTGTTCTACAGCACGCCTCTGCAAAGCACTCACCAGAAGGAGCTCGGTAGTCGACGCACTGTCAATCTCACCTACGAGCAGGCCACTCATGATTTCTCCAAAACAGTCGAGGACCTACTTAATGATTGGTCTAAAATCGTTTACCTATATACGCTGGTTTACGATTTCGCAGAGCAGCTGCGCAACAGTAAGTACAGATCAATCATAAATAAGCTATCTAGTTATTTATACTTACTCTTATATTTCCATAGAGCGTCTGAGTCTGGGGGACATGCTGGTGGTCAAGTCCTACACCTACGCCAACTTGTTGATTGGCTATGGACCCAAGAAGGAAGTCACCTGCAATATTTATTGGTCTGTGCAGTCGAATGGCTTCCGATTGGTGTTTGTGGGCGGCATCTCAGCTGTGAATGCGCACTCCATGATGCGTGAACAACTGGCCCAGCATCTAAATCAACAGCACAGTCTCACGTCCATCGCTCACATACTGCACGAGACCTACAATCCGATGAGCTCCATAGCCAAGTTGCCAGTGATTCCGGTGCTGGGCGTACCGGTTAGCTATAGATATATCTGCATATACATAGATAATTCTGTAACACCTTTCGTATTTACAGCGCCCCCAGGTGCCCGTGCTATCGTTCTGCATGCTGCCGCAGTCGCCCTGCTTGATGCGTCTGACCTATCAGGCTGTGTATTGTCTGGAATTGCGCTTTCGTGCCAATCGGCTGGTGTCCATTCGTGATGGCGCTAGTAACCGCTTTGATCGCAATATCATCGAGGAGTTCACTCCCATTCAGGGCCTTAAGGCATTCCTTTCCAAGTACGTGGATGAGTCGGCTGTGTACAGAGGTCGTGCACCACATGACGACGATAATCCGCTGTCTCCCATGGGCTTGGAAGACAACTTTGGCGGCCCAAACAGCGTTGCGGGAGTTAGCGCTGGCGGATCTTCACCTTTCCTAAGCGCCGGCATGCGTGGCCCGCAGTCTCCACGAGATAGCGGTCTCCGCTTTCCAGCACCACATACGCCGCCGTCCAGCTCCAATCCACATACACCAGCGAGTCCACATCCCAGCTCTGGTGGTGGCGGCGCCAGTGGAGGCCAGAGTCATGCGAATTTCAATTTGACATCGCCACCAGCACCGCATATGCCGCATCCGTCGCCAGGTGGCCTGATGCCCTCATCGCCACTGAATCCACAGCCCAGTCCACACATGGTGCACAGTCCGGGACCCAACACTTTGTATATGCAAAGTCATCAGGATTCGCCATTCACAGCCATGTCCCCGGCGAATAACAATTGGCCCGGATCTCCAAGCATGCCGCGTCCATCACCCCGGCCCGGACAGAGTCCAGAGCACAAGAGCACGGGTGGGGGTGGCCCAGGTGTGGGCGTGGGTGGTGCCGATCGAAGTGGATCGCGCGGTACTCTCAACCGACCATGGGCCGGGGCTGTGCCCACGTTGCTGACTCATGAGGCACTGGAAACGCTGTGCCGACCCAGTCCGCATCCCAATAAAGATATCAATGTGGCCGATATGAGTCCCCTTGAGCGGTTCTTGGGCTGCGTTTACATGCGGCGCCAGTTGCATCGCAACATCCAAAGCGAGGAGTCGTTGACGGCGCTCAACTCAACGGAGCCAGGCGTAGTGCTCTTCAAGGTGGATGGGCTGCAATGCCAAGTGATGCTCAATCAGCTGCACATGCAGTCTCTGCATCTGAAGGTCACCCAGCTCCCACCCATGCCAGACAAGCCCACTTTCCAGCTCAGTCCCGACGATCTGCTGGTCATCGAGCAGTACTTCGACACACGAGTGGCCGCGCCGCCCTATCGACCCAATGCACTGCACAGCATGTGTCGACTATTGAATCTGCCCGGTCATGTGCTTAAGGACTTCGTGCAGATCATGCGCCTGGAGCTGAAGCCCGAGCTGGGAGGCGATCAGCTTAAGTGGACCGTGCAGATGTGCCTGCGCATGTCGCCGTCGGCCTTGCCCATCGTGCCCATTGGCAGTGCCTGCGTAGTCCTGGGTCGCATGAAGATCCTGTTCTTCCTGCATATCACACGCATACCGTACAACGGCAAGGACTGGAAGGACAGCCCCTCGCTGGTGCTGCCCATTGTTCATGACATAGCCTCAAACCTAACGCAGGTGGCGGAGAGACGCGAACAGGTGCAATCGCCTCTGATGGCTGCCGCGAGCACGCTGCTGCGTGGCTTCGCTGACTACGGAGTGCAGCAGAATCGCTGCTCACTCTTTCCAGCCGTCACGGAGCTGCTGACCAATCTGGCCGTGGATCAGCCGGCGCCGCCACCCAACCAAGCCATCGGCGCGCCTGTGGGACTTGGCGGCGTCGTTGGCGTTGGCGTGGGCGTAGTTGGCGCTAGCCCAAACACAATGATGCCCATGCAGCAGTTGCAGCCACAGGTCGGACATGGGCCCCAGCTTGGCCCGAATCCGGGTGGTCCGCAGTGATGAAGGCGCAAGCGCCGCGCCTCCTCGCAACAGCCGTGAGGCGGAATCCAAGGCGCAACTGCGAGCAACACACACAAACACAGGGAATTCCCAACTATCATTCATTTATTTATTGTTTAAAATACAACACAAGTTTGTAACATTCACTGGCGTCCACGGAAGACGAGAGATGAGTGTCAAGATCAAAATCCAGATCCAGATTGAGCTATATAAAAATGTAATATCCAGCATACGCAATACGCATTACAATACGAAACTATTGTACAAAAGAGATGCACTAAGTACATGTAATAAATCACTAACTAACTGTAAAGCTAACTACTGTAATCGTAAGAGCATTTGCCTGATTATTTGTTTTTGCTTGGCTGATATCATTTATCACATGGGTCGGCCGTCGAGCGATTCTGTGAGTGCTTGCACCGAGGTTATTAAATATAGTTGTTTGTGTATCTTATGTACCCTTGATGAGATAAGCCTTGCCAAACTGAAAGGGGTGGAAATATTTCTGGAGTAACTCATTTAGTTTGGTTCTAACTTAATCTCACAGAAGAAATTGTCGACCGATTGGACTGTAATGGTCAATAATGTACATTAGTCAAGAGATACACGATTTGATGGAATTCAAAACAGAAATCGGAAAACGAAGGATAAAAGACAAAAGGATAGTTTCTTACAGATTTTCTCTTGTCTTTTAGCAAGGGTATACAAAATTCGACAAGGCCGAATTTAGATCTTGTTCTACTGCTTTGCTTTTTGCGCTCTTCTTTTTGGCTTGATTGCAGTTCCGGCTTCGCCGCTTAAGCTGTCGCAATTTGCGTGTTGTCCATTTGGTTGGTGAGCTCTGCGATGCCCTCCTCCTCGTCCGAAATGAGATCGACCCAGTAGCGCAGGCGCTTGCTGCGCAAATAGCTGGCCGAGTTGTCAAACACAACGGTGTCTAAATGGGTAGAGAGAAAACATTTAGCACCTATGTTAATATATAGTGTAGATATGTAAGCAACGCACATGTGGTGTTGGGTCTTGTGGAGATGCAGCCCACCTCATCCATTTCGTTGGAGTAGACGGTGCCAAGCGGCACCTCGCTGCGCTTCTCGCCCGTCTTCTCGTCCACGCTGTAAATGCCAAACTTGATGTCGTAGTCGAAGGTGCGGAAGTTCCACGAGAGCAGCTGCTCCTCCTGCTGCCCATTCACCTTGAAGTTCAGCTTGAGCTTGTCTCCCTTCGGCACTTGGGTTTCCGTGAAGGTCTTGTCGCTTTGCTGACTGTTCTGATCGATGTAGAGCTCCTCGGGCAGCTTGCCACCCCACACCATCATGGACTTGCACTGGGGATCGCCCAGTTTGTCGACCAGCTGGCCGCCCCAGCTCTTGGGAAAGTTCTTGGGATCAACGAGTGAGAACAGCGACTCCTGCCACTTGTCCACGCCGGACTTGTAGATGTGAATCTTGCTGGTGGTGTTCTCGTCCAGGAACTTCTTCACTATGTTAAAGGCCACCGAGAAGAGCTTCGGTGCATTGATGATGTAGCACATTTTGAGCAGCTCTGGGAAGTTGGCCTCGTACTGCTTGATGGACGATATGACGCACTCGGCTGCTGGCCGCCAGGCATACTGCTTCAGGTTCATCGACTCGCAGTCCAAGAAGACGACCAGCTGGCGCGCCTTCCAGCCATGCTTCAGGCTCTGCTCGTAGGCGAGCTTCATGAATCGCTCCAGCAGCAGAACCAAATACTTTTGAAACTCGAAACGTGTAACGCAGTGCATCATGCCCCAGATGTCATAGTTGTAGAACGGACAAACGATTACTAAAGAGAAAAGAATGAGATGAATCGCTGTCATATAAGTAATAGATTTACAGAAGTACCTGGCGATCCCTCCTTGTCGAAGCCCATGACGCCATAGGGCAGATACTCGCGCAGCGCCCTGGGAGCTTCCCACTTCTCTATGTTATCCACGTTCCACATGGCGCGCGTTTTGAGACTCTGTGGGGAGATATTCAAAATTGAGGATTAGCACTCAGTATATGCTTGAATATATATTGATCTGTATTCAGTAATGTCAGTGATATATTTTATATAGTAGATCAGCAGTCAGTTAAACTTATATCGAGCAGATCAGGTAGTATATAGCAAAGATACGTACCGCTTTAAGCATTTTCTCTGCAGCCTCCACATTCCATTTGCGAGCTGTGGGAGAGACGAAGAAAGGGAGAGGGAGAAAGATAAGTTAGTTTATAGCTGATTATCTTTCACACCTGTAACTCACCTCGTAGCCAGCGCAGTAGAAAATAATCATCATGCGTCTCGTTCAGCTCGGGACTCATCAACTTGCGGAACTGCAAAGGTGCAACAAATCGGATAAATTGATAGCCAAAGTTAACCTTGACTTAAGCCAATAACTGTTGACCACGTGGTCAAGCATAGAATAGAATTCATAGTAAATGAAAAAGTTCGATTCTTAATTTCACTAAATGGGTTGATGTTTTTCCTCAATTCTCTTCATGGCACTGTCTAAGCTGTAACACCTGTTGTGTTATACCGGGCTTATACCGTTAATCATGTGACTGCAGCTGGGCGTCGCTCTGCATATCAATCAAGCCACAAACACAGTCCCAACGTGGCCTTAATAACTGTTAATTTCGAGCTGAATCAATGGCAAATTTAATATTTGTCTGAATGATAATTTGAATACTCTGTATAATTGATGGGGTGAGGTATACTATTGAGGTTTGTGGGGTTTACTGTTGAGGGTTTTAATATTCAAAAGATCTTCGTAACATCTCCCTTTTCAAGTTAGTTTGAATTTCGTTTTCTTATATTACACATATCTACAGGGTATTCGCTATTCGGTCAACTGCCCACGTTTTGCTCTCCCAAAAGGTCGCCTCGTCAAGGTTTTGATTAATTATTTTCCTGTTATATTTTGATGTGACTCAAGTTCAATCGAATTGTTGCCGCATTGAATTGAAGCCGGGGAAATGAAAATGCGACAAATCGCAACAATTTATAATTGGCAATAAAATGTATAAATTTAATCAATTGTAGGTGCAATTGCTCAATGTATGGGATGTCAGATGCAATCGAGCGGAGGTAACGTGCTTCGATTGTTTAATTGAGCGTCGCAACTAGCTGCCAAAACAGCGAAGCTTGGCTAAAGGCTGTTCACTTGGCAGTCGCTCACATTTGGCTTACGACTCGCTTAGCTTGGCTCAGTTGCGTTTAGACCACACTTGAAATTCAATAACGAGGCCAAATGCCAGTTGTTCATGTGGCTTTTGTTTTCATTTTGCTTTTGCTTTTGTCTTTGGGCTTGAACTGCAGGCCAAGACGTTGCCGCCGCTTCTTGAAGTCATGATATGATTTTCATGTCAATGCAAGGGACAGGGGTAGGCGCTAGCGGTGTCTGAGGGGATGAGGGGAAAACAGTGATTTGGCTTGGTTTTCATTAGTGGTAAGTATATTTAGCCAACTTCCTCATAACTCAGCCGCCTTGCAGCTGCCTATTGCTCGCTTTGCTTTGTGCTTTGTTCTTGTTTTTCTACCAAAGCCGCAAACTTGGTCAAGACTTTAACAATTTGCAGCCAAATAAAACAAGTTAGTTGAAAATAAAACACACAAAAAAAAAAAAAAAAAAACAAGGCTAAGAAATCTTAAAAGCCGTTTGGCAGTTAGCGAGGTGTGGATTGATGCTTTGGTGATCGCAGCAGCTTTTAAGCTCTAATTGGAGTGGAAATTGAATGGAAAATTCAATAAACTGAAGCATGTGAATAATCCAATAAGAATGCAATTTAAATTACAGTAGGTATATATAGAAATATACATATTAAATCAGCTGACTCATAGGTCTTAAAAAATTCCAGTAACACTTTTGGCTTTCAGTCACTAAAGCCGCCTACTCCAACTTCTCTTTCTATTTCTCTGCAACTGCGAACTTAACGGAATCGTAAGGCCCTTGACTTGGTTGGCCTTTTAGCCACTCGGTTGGCTCTTGGCGTTAAATCAAATATTGAAAGTATTCGCTTGGCTATTTGGCTTATTCGGGACTTTCCATGCTGAGAAAACAAACCAGTTGTTGAAAGCGTGTACAAGTAAGAGTGAGAGAGATGCAAAGAGAGAGAGAGGGAGTGACTAATATATATCCCCTTGCGCTTAATATAATCATTGGCTATATTATTAACTAAGCAAAGTTAAATATGCGCCTTGTTTTCTGATTGCGAATCCATATTTATCAATTATGAGATTAAACACCATCAATATACCCCATCTATTGCAGCGCCTACAGGGTGTACCAAAAGCAGAACTCATTAGCATGTTGTGGGCACACCCAAGGCATAGGTGAATACATCTAAATAAATCTACATGGATTATATATTTATATATAGTCGTTCAGTTATGCTGATTGCTTCGTACTTGGCCAAAGGGTCGCAATCAGAGATCGCTCCATGATATTTCGAGATAAGTTAATGACAATTTATAATTGCGCTCGATCTGCCTTGAACCGGTTTTTGTTTAATTGTGGCACTTTAAGCAAAGCAAATAAATATGGATAAGTCGATTGTGGGTTGGGGGAGAGTTGGTGTAGGGGCAACCAGTACTAATTAACATCTGCTAAGAACGTTGAGCTGCAAGTGGATGCCATAACTCATTTAGTAGGTCCCACCTTTTGGTTTTGAATTGGCTTTAACCGTTTGACCATTTTCGGTTGAGTTGCTCACACAATTTGAGGGCGGGCCAGGGGCTGGGTATGCAGATTTGTTGCCTACTTGCAGCCGAGAACAAACGTCAACAAAGTGCAGCAGCTGCACATGTTGCCGGCCACATGCCACACAGTGGCCTACAGCGCATGCAAAGTGGACATTGGATGTGGCTAGGAGCTATATAGATATGTGCATATGTGCATAAAAATGCATGTATATACGTATGTATGCTGTCACGCTTCATTGAGTGGCTCGTGTTGACTCAAAGCTCTAAGCGCATTTAAATGCGCAATTTATCATATTGGCAAGGCCAAAGAGACCCAAGGAAGACATGATAAAACACGAAATATATTCGGTGTATGTATGTGTGTGTGCATGCATGTAAATTTGTGTTTACCTATTTCGTAATGCAAATGAAAACGGTAAAACCGGTTCAATTCTTAGTTATTCCTACTAAATGAAATATTTATTATGCGCGTAATCTAAGAGAACACCCACTCAGAAGCCTAACTTCTGCACCAATTTACAGGCTTCTACTACACCCACACCCACACACACTCATACACAGAGAGAGCGAGAGACTCTAAATATAAGAAAGAGAGACAGTGTGAAGATGCGTTACGCTCTCTCACCTGTTCCAATGTTTTGCGCTGCTCGGCGCTGATTTCGGGCAGTGGACCAGACATTTTCTATATATATTTGATTTAAAAGTTGTTAAATTTTTGCAATTTAATATGTTATGCACACACATACACACACGCATAAACACGCGAGCGCACTCCAATTTCGTTATCTCTTTTTGATGATTCGTCGTTATTTCGCTTTTTGGTTTATTTATTTTTTGTTGTTTTTCTTTTTTTTTTTTTTTTTTTTTTTGCTGTTACTGGCTTAAATAAAATAACAATAAAAACTTTCTACGCTTGCGTTTGTTTTGTTGTCGATTTGGGCAGACTGTTGCATATTTTAAGCGCAATTATTTGGTATTTTACTACTCAGCTTTAGTTGACCCTCATCTGGGCTGGGCTAATTACAACAATTATACAAAGTAAACAGCAGACACTGTCACAGTCACAGTTACACGCACTACGCAAATACACGAAACACGGCGTCAATTTTCGTTTGCTTTTGTTTTTGTTTTCGAGCTGCCGCCGGAACTGTAGCGAACGGAACTCAATTTAACCCCAATGCGATGCGTTTGACGGACGAAAACAAACTGAACTTTAATGCGAAGCGGACTTGCTTCTTAAAATGCGCTCAATATTCGCTCTCTTTGCGGCGACTCAGCGTCAGCGTCAATGACGGGAGCGTGAGCAGAAGTGATGACATGAAGTTAACGTTCTTTGGCGCTCAGCTGTTTCGTGCGCTCTCTCTGTCTTTGCCACTCAAGTTCTGCTCTGAGTTGGATGGAATTCATATAAAACACACAGAAATATAAGTCAAAGAGAGCAAGCAGAAGCTACAACAGCAGTTAACGTTCTTGTGCACTCAGCTGTTGCGTGCGCTCTCACTCTCTTTCCATATGTAAAGTAGTTTGCATTTCTGCAGTTTTGAATTGCAATTCATATAATAAATATATAAATAGCTAGCTATCAACTTGTATAGGGTGTAGCAATTTTATCACTGAACTTGCTATTGTTTATACTTTGTCACTTCATATCAGCAACGCTTACGGTTTATTGCAGCAGATTCTAAAATTTGGATTATTTTGTGCGCTTTATTTTAATGGGTAGCTGATAAGATAATATAACAGTTTATTTCAAATCTGGTCAGCAAAACCACCTTGACCTATTCTTTGTAGTCGTAATTGCCTATTTTAGCAAAGACAGCATAAGCACAGTATTCAAATCTCTCACTGAATGCGGAGAGAGAACAATAGGTGGCGGTGTACATGCGCGCTCACAAGTATGCAATACTATTTTATTCAAAGTGAGCACTAGATGGCGCTTTCTTAATTTTAGGGTAACAAGCAACAGATGGCGCGCTCCAAGGACTTGATGCTTGTATGCAATATATGATTACACAGATAATTTAAAATTATATATACATAAAATTTATAGAAGGAAATATATTGATAAATAATATAGATTTTCTTGCGTTTTCTTTTTGGATATAATTGGCAATGCTAAATAAACATACACAGGTACACACAAAAAGTGATTAGCCCCAATTGATCGACGGCTAGATTATGTTGGGAATTGCAATTGTATTTTAATAATCAATTCAATTGAATCTGATTGGTTCACCACCTGCTTCTCCCCTACTGAGTCAGTTGACGTGGGACTGTTCTACCTCAGTTCAGCCTCTGCCGCTGCCGCTGCCGCTGCCGCTGCCGCTGCCGCTGCCGCTGCCGCTGCCGCTGCCGCTGCCTCTGCCTCTACCTCGGCTTCCCTATTCCTATCCCAATAGGTTTTCGCTTTTGGCTGCATGTGGAATCGCTTATTCGCACTTGAGTCGGAGAATTTACTAGTTTTGCGTCACAGACGTGCCAAAACTGAATAATTCAAAAAGTATATATATTGAATGATATGTTTATGAAAACAAACAATAGTCGGACAGAGACGCCAACACATGATGAGCGTAAAATTTTATGAAGTTGTTGAAATTTCCAACTGCCCATTAAGCAAATTGCCAGAAATTCAAATTTGTTGCCAAAAGGCAGTGAGAGACAAAGACAAACACAGACGGACGGAGGGAGAGTGGGCAGAGGGAGAGGATGAAGGAGGACGGTTTAATATGTTGAATTTACCTTAGCTTAAAAACATAATCGAAATTTGTTTTGAGAGATTTACATAGCAATAATAGCATAGCATAGAAAACATAGATATTTCAGCACGATGTTGTTTTTGCAAGGCATCAATGAAAGCCACAAGAAAAACAAACCCAGGCCAATCGATCGGCCCATCGATGGGCCAGAGTTGAGTGCTGAGCAGGTAAATCAACACCTGCGGCACATTGAATTCTTGGGCATAATATCGGCTGATTTCTAGATAAGTCCAGGGCAATTTGCTGTTAATTTGGCATAAACTACAACGTGGCTTATTGATTGCCATGTATCAGTTTAGATTACACTATGTTCAGGGGGAGGCTGCCACGGCTGCCACTGGCAGGGGCGGAGGGGGCAGCCAAATTTATCTGCACACAGTTTGTCAGTTTCTTCTGTTTGGTAGTTTCTTTGTTGCGCGTGGGCAGGTACCAAAAAACAAGGCGCAATTCAAGCGATTCACGCAATTCACGCTAAACACAGGCGAATAAATAAGCAGCCAGACAAAAAATACAATAAAGTTGCCCATTGCCCCCGCCCTTTTAGCCACTGCCCCCGCTCACTCCCTCCCTCACATTCTGCCGGGCCAGTCAATCAACCAATATCCCCGGCTCCCCCTTTAGCGCTTTGCACTTGAAATCGGCAGCAGCATCAAGCTGTCGACCACCCGCAGATCAACACGATTCACACTGGCGAGGGCAGTGGAGGGCGCTGGAGGATCTGGAAAGGATCTACGTCATGTGCCAGTCGATGATGCAGCGCTGCGTGTCAAGCATTGCAAAATACGCAAAAAGTTCAACATAAATAGAGCAACGCCTCGATCTGCTTGCGGCTGCCTCATGACGTCCCACGAATTTCGACTGTGACTGTCCCACGTGACGTCACAGTCGCAGCATCACAGCCAGCAGCGTGTGCACCCCCGTTAAGATCCGGGTATTTATAGCTATCTGCGGGTACTACGATATAGACGAGGGATATGTCTTGTACTGAAGGTAACTTTGATCGATATTTGTTCATCTCTGTTGGCAGAGGCGGTAATGCTGCCTGAGTTCCTACTCTCGATTCAATTCCATCTATATCAATCAAGTTTATGGCTTCCTTGATTGATATTCTTGATCCATTCTGACTTAGAAATAAAAGTCCACTTTCTTTACCCCAAATACTCTTCAGTTACATCCATTGCCAATCAATTCTCACCAGCCAATCGGCAGAGTATATAGTCTTCGGCTTTATATGGGATTTCCCCTCATCTTTCATTTTATTTGCATCTCCATGCTTTTGGGCAGCTCTGAGAAAATCCGATTCTATTTTGGGGCGATTGCACGAGTTTATAATCAACATAAACAAACAACAAATGCGAGTGTGAATTAAAAAAGTGAATAGAACAGTTCACTTAATAATATGCTATTACTGTTACTATGACGAAGTCCGACAAACACACTATATATATCCCATACGGACTTATATACTGGGTGAGTAGCACGCAGGGTTCGAGTGCCTCGATTCAGCTGGGGTGTTCACATGCTTCCGAATACTCAACTGTCGATATTAATCAATATTGTTAAATGATGTGCAATTAGTTGGCGAACGAGTGAGCGAACTTCGCGCGAATCCACAATTTGCCGAGGGGCTCGGTTCCTAGAACTAGAGATACACTGGAAAAATGAGTTTTCATGCTCTTCCAGAATTCTTCAGGAGAATATATGTGATATATCGGGATCATACAATATGATCTATGAGCACCTGTGGTGTTTATAGTGTTCGAGCATTGGGCAAATAAATTAGCTATGTAGCAGTTCATTCTCTTTCTCAAATTCTAAAAAATGAATCGAATCTAAACATTAAATTCACGGAAAATTCTTGAATGAGTATCTCTGGAAAGATGCTTGCTATATGATTTAAATAACTTATTCTACAATTCTTTCTATAATCTTCCGGCTTTTATGTTTCGATGAATCTTTATATATTTCGGGCATTGATATAAGTAAAGTCATCGAATTCGCCTTTTGACTTTTCATTGCTCTTTGCTTTAATGGCAATCGAGTGGCCAAGGTGAGTCATGATTCACCCGCTTCCCAATTTCCCAACTGCCAGACAGCCTCTCTATAACGAAATTCCTCTGCCACGAAATTTGACATTTTGCTGAACCCAGCCGGAACAAGAAACACGGCAGAGACAGGAGCAGCACGTGTCCTTGCATGCGAGCAAGGGATCTACTCTTGCTCCCCATTCTCCATTCCCTTTTCCTTTCCCTTTCCCTTCTCTGTCAGATTTCCTTTTACTAAACTGTGGCGCAGCCCTTGCCTTTGCCCTTGCCCTTGCTCTTGCTCCTGCTCTTGCTTTAGACTCCAAGTTGCAACCTCATGATGTGCGTGCAGTTGCGTCTAATCCGCGTTTTAGTCGTTTATCCTGCCCAGACCCAGGGACACGCGGAGCTGGAGCAGGGGCAGTCGCTGTCGCTGTCGCGGTTGCTGTTTCTGGCACTGGAGTCAAAGCGAAAGCCTGACAGAGGCGGAAACTGTTGCTGTCTGTGGCCCTTGTTGGACATGATGCGGCGTATTGTTGTTTCCTGCTTGCTTTCAGCTTTGACAAACAAATTAATAAGAAAACGAGGGCTGAACAGGGCGGAGCTGAGGGCAAGGCTTGGCTGATCTGGGCTGGGCTGTTGTGGTCTGGTCTGATGTGTTACCCCCGCCGTTCGGCAGTTTGCCTGGTCATAATACGCGTAATTTTGCCTTTGTAAGCAAATGGCAGGCAGCACGACCGGGCAGCCTAACCAACAGGACCGCAAGGACCTCTCCGTGCGTTCGTCCTTGATGGCAATGCTCGACATAATGACTTTTGATTACAGCGCCATTAGGCGAGGCCAACGGATCTCGACTCTGCTCAGCTCCTTGTACATCTGTTTGATTTTCGGCTTTGTGCGCCGTCTACTGGGCAGGGGATTGCGGCGAGTCGTTAGAGCTGTTCTTACTAGTTCCATGGCTCATTGAATTGGTCTCGTAGTTCAATGGCTGCAAGAGCTGTCTTTTATTTGAGCCAAAAGGCGTTTAGTGCTTCGTCCGACTTGGATTCATAGCTGGGCATTTA